TATCCATCATTAAGTAAGGATAAGAATTTATGGATGAACAACTTCTTTATTACAATTAAGAGCGACGTTTCGGTGTATGTTCTAACACCTTTATCAAGCAAGTGTTTGAACCTACACCGAAACGTCTTGTAATAAAGAAGTTGTTCATCCATAAATTCTTATCCTTACTTAGTACTCCAACTTCTAAATGCCTATCAAAGAAACTACCCATAATTGCTCCTATACAACAATATATCGATATATGTCCATAACATACCCAGCATTGCTCCTATACAACAATGTATCGATATATGTTCATAACATACCCAGTATTGCTCCTATACAACAATATATTGATATATGTCCATAACATACCCAGCACTGCTCCTGTACAAAAATATTTCGATAGCTGTCCAAATCATACCCAGCATTGCTCCTATACAACACTAGATCGATATATGTCCAAAACATACCCAGCTCTCCTGTTATGCAACAAGATATCGATATATGTCCATAACATACCCAACATTGCTCCTATACAACAATAGATCGATATATGTCCATAACATACCCAGCATTGCTCCTATACAACTATATATCGATATCTGTCCAAAACATACCCAGCTCTGCTGCTATGCAACAGTATATCGATATCTGTCCATTAAAATAGTCAACATTGCTCCCTGAAAACAATATATCAATATATGTCTATAACACATCCAACTTTGCAAATAATAAATATACAATAATATATCGATATATGTCCATTCAAGTAGACAACGTTGCTCGTATACAACAATATATCGATATATGTCCATAACACATCCATCTGTGCCAGACCCGTGAAGATCCGGGGTAGAATAGGTCTTCAGCAACCCATGCTTGCCGTAAAAGGCGACTATGCTTGTCGTCAAAGGCGACTAACGGGATCGGGTGGTCAGGCTCGCTGACTTGGTTGATGCATGTCATCGATCCCAATTGCGTGGATCGATGCTCATGATATTAGTCACTGGATTGTCTGGTTCAGACTCGATTATTTAAAGACCGCCGTCATATAGCTGGAATATTGCTGAGTGCGGCGTAAAACAACAAACCAACCATCTGTGCTAATATAGAACAATGTAACAATATATGTCCATTAACATAATCGACATTGCTCCTATACAACAATATATCGATATTTGTCCATAACACATCCATCTTTGCTAATTTACAACAATATATCTATATACGTCTCCGAGTCATACCACCCGATCCATGAAGTCGCCTCGTACGTCGAGCATAGGTTTCTGGGAAAAAAATTTGACCCCTTATCACTGCTCCCTATAAACGATTCTGATGTATAAGGAGACCATTGGGCAGTGCGTGGCTCTGTGTAGCGAAAAGTCAAAATAATATATAGGGAGTTAGTAGTGATATTGGCCTGAAGTTTGTATTGCAATTTACTGCAATAATGTTGTGATACGTACCACAATAAATTGCATGCATTCTTTCATCTGTATTTTGTTATTAACCTGAAAATAAACTTCCCACGCATTATTAGGGATGTTGCTATGGCCACAAAGATTGACCTACAGGAAACTGCCACAAAAATTGTTTATCTCACTACTGGAAAAACTTGCTAATTAGTTAATTTCCGTTTGAGTTGTCACTTGCGTAAAATCTTCAACCAAGATGATTTTGAAAAACGCAACATACCGGTATTTTTTATTGTGGTGCGTATTCATTGTTTTTTCCTTTCGTGGTATACCGGTATATCGGTAATATCGCGCACCTCTAGGGCGTAGGACAGAGATACCGTTACAGGTAGCGCAGGTAAAGGCAAATTTGTCATGAAACGATGTCATCATATGCATCTTCAAAGTAAAATACACGCCAGTATACAACATCATCAAGCAGACAACGTCATTAACCAGACAACGTCATTAACCAGACAACGACTAACAGTTTTACTACACTGTGTAGACCGTGTCTAATGGTGTATCCACATTCTAACTCAGCCTTCATTCGTTATCCTCTTCTTTAATATGATTCGTCCGTGATATATAATGATACCGTTTGCCCAACGACACAAACTTCGGAGAAGGTGTCAACAAGCTTGACACGAGTGGGTAGAACTCTTGACCCCAGCAGTGATAACCCATTGTTTGGATGCCCATTGTGTAATTCCTATTTTTTTAATGACATTGTTGTATACTTGTTACAACTGCTCATTAAATCGAGTTTGTGTTTATAATGAAGTTGGTATTTCCGCTGTCCAAAGTGTGCAGTGAGTGTGTGTGAATATGTCATCGTGTTAACGGCGAAAGTTTAAAGTTTGCGTATGTGATTCTATGTAATGAATGCGCATGTGAAAGCAGTTTGAACCTGTGCTTCGTTTTGCTTACATGGTTTGAATCACATGGACAACACTATTTGTGATCCGCCAGGCGAAACTGACCCTTATGGGTGCTAGGATACAATTGTGCCGTGACTTGAATAAAGATGGACGTTTGACGTCATGTCAGTATTTTTATGCTCTTCACAACATCAATGGACGTTGATCACATAGACAGTAATATATGGCACTCGCCAGGAGAAAAAAGATGGGTGCTAGAGCAACAATGTGTTTGGGCTTCATAAAGAAAGACGTTTGCCGTGAACTTGCTTCCATAGATATCGCCAAGTGTGTTGACTGTACACAAATATCGTATTTTCCTCTCGTTAGTTACTTTCAATTAATCACACATTATTTTTAAAAACAGTTGTTATAAGTCTGAAAATTGGACTTTGCAGAAAATAAGTCCATATGTTTGATGCCATGTATCTCTGAAATAAATGGGGACCGCCTCCGTGGTCTAGTGGTAGAGCGTCCGCCCGGAGAGCAGAAGGTCCGGGGTTCGATCCCCGGCCGCGTCATACCGAAAGACGTTAAAAGATGGTGTTGTTACCCTGTCTGGCGCTCAGCATTAAGGGGCTCAAACAAGGACTGGTCGGCTCGGAGTCAGTATACTGTGTCTGAGTGGGGTATTCATGTTAAACTGCGGCATGGTATCTCAGTGAGCTAGCACTATCAATCGGTATCAGTCCGGACTAGTACAAGCAGCCACACAAACACACACACGTACATGCACGTCGCTATATAAGTGCAATAATCTTGGACGCGACGTACAACCCCATTTTACCTCACCTCACCTGAAATAAATGGTGAAGTGGAGCGTTTGAATTGTCATTTTGTGTTCCTAAGATCCCGTAGTTTTAGAATGTAATGGAGAAGTCCCTTATCCCATGGTTGGTCACAATTTTTCCACATTGTCCTTTCGCCTGTTGGGTCGTGTTTGAAAGTGAGGTGCGGGGAGGTGTAATGGATTTAACGTCGTTTTGACGATTAATGCAATTATATAGCGACGTGCACGTGCGTGTGTGGCTGCTTGTTGCAGTTTTATAGTGCTGGTCTATTAAGATAATAAGAGGCGGTTTAACATTTATACCCTCCTCAGACACATTATACTGACTCCGTGATGACCAGACATGTTATCCCCTTAATGCCGAGCGCCAGGCAGGGTAGCAACAAGTAAAATCGTTTAATGTCTTGTGGTATGACGCGGACGGGCATCGTTGCTTACATTTATATCAAAATTATTTAACTTTAGATTTGACTGCTTAATGTGCTTTCAGTTTTGGTTTCTTGATTGTGAAAGTGTGGAAATTCACTTGGATTAAATGTGTGTATTAAAGTGTACGTCATGTGAACCCCATCACAATGCATCGACGTTCTGCTTGCGAAAAGTGTAAAGTGCGATTTCGGGGTAAATGGTTTTAAACGACGCAATCATCAATGACGGTCTGTATGTAACCATGTCTTCACTGGGCAAACCAGTGACTGATTGAATGATCATCGGGGAACGCTACTTTATAGTAAGCCTCCTCAAGACTCGACACTTGTTATTATCAATCTCCTCACGACTGGATACTTATATCATAATTCTCCTCAATAATTCATACCTGTTATTACGAATCTCCTCAAGACCGGATACAAATAACAAAATCCTCTTCTTAAATGGATGCCTTTATTATCAATCTCCAAGAATGGATTCTTTTTTTACAAGTCTCCCCAGGAATGTGCATACTTAGTATAAGTCTTTTCAAGAATGGATACGTTCCTTACGAGCCTCTTACAAGCGTTTTTATACGCCTCTCTAAGAGTCAGTACGTTTATTATAAGTCTACCCAGCAATGGATACGTTCCTTACGAGCCTCTTACAAGCGTTTTTATACGCCTCTCTAAGAGTCAGTACGTTTATTATAAGTCTACCCAGCAATGGATACGTTCCTTACGAGCCTCTTACAAGCGTTTTTATACGCCTCTCTAAGAGTCAGTACGTTTATTATAAGTCTACCCAGCAATGGATACGTTCCTTACGAGCCTCTTACAAGCGTTTTTATACGCCTCTCTAAGAGTCAGTACGTTTATTATAAGTCTACCCAGCAATGGATACGTTCCTTACGAGCCTTTTACAAGCGTTTTTATACGCCTCTCTAAGAGTCAGTACGTTTATTATAAGTCTACCCAGCAATGGATACTCTTATAATAAGTCTCTTAAAATGGACACATTTGTTTAAAGTCTTCCCAAGAAGGGACACGGGTATTAGAAGTCTCCACATGAAGGGAGTGAGTGAGTGAGTTTGATTTTACGCCGCTTTTAGCAATATTCCAGCAATATCACGACGGGGGACACCAGAAATGGGCTTCACACATTGTACCCCCACATGAAGGGAACATATCATGGTAATTCTCAGGAATAGATAATAATGCCTATGTTGAATTTGTCCTGTAGAAATTGGAAGCTATGCGTGTCATAGACATATCAACGCTATGTTCAATCTTGTAAACGTATAAACTCTATCAAATGTACATTTATCAAACTTTGCGTACATTCTTCCAGAAAAAATGTCTGTTTGTTTAAATATCTAAATGTGCCTGCACAAATGGTTGTCAAGGCTACGTGTCTTTAATATTTTTGGCTTTTGCATGTTTGGCTGTCTACGAAGCGATATTGATATTCATATGGAGATATACACTCTCACGACGTTAATCCATTTACGCACCTAAAATACTAACAAGGTCAGATGATTGATGTGAAAGAATTTGAACCGTGTCTCTAGATGCTGAGTTGTGTAGATTGGATTTGCTCAGGCTCTTTCTCTTTGCGATGTCACGAAACCATGGGTTTGTTTGACAAGCTACACTCACTTTTGTTTCATTGGACGCTATCCCTCCACCTGACCTCCCTGCCAGAGAGGCAATAGCATCTCCCATATGTCAGAGCCTCCTCATCGGACCGGTCATTACCCTGACCTTCACAGTCTGCAACATGGGGACCCTGTGGAAGTTCAAATACCTCTTGGTTATCGGTAACGTCAAATACTTCTTTTCGATTTATTGATATTTAATGCAAGCAACATCGCATATTCATGAATATATTGAAAAGAAAGTATGTAATAGCATATTTTGGGGACATTTTGTCTTACGTTCAATTAACGTTGATCAGGCTTGGTATAACGCTTCATGACAGATTTCTTTACAGAATTGAGTACTTATTGACGGGTGAGTGAGTGAGTTGGGTTTAACGCCGCTTTTAACATTATTCCAGTTATACCACGGCATGTCAGTTTAATGTGGGAGGAAAGCCCGAAGTGATGCAGGTCTCAGACGTTTACCACTTCGGTGAAACCCACGAGCACGTGTATGGTGCTGACAAACCTAGAAACATAATCGGGGCGAACCGTCATTCGAACCCACAATCATAGGTTTAGGGACGCAACTCTGCACAGCGAATTTCGGCGCCTTAGACGACTGGGAAACCCGTGCCCCCTTAATGACAGGTGAAACAAGACGTTGTTGAAGTACCCAATCATCTGATATTGTCTTTGACTATTACCTGTTACAGAAAATATGTAAATACGATTGACAGTTTCTGGCCTTTCATATTCGAGTGTAGGTATTGGCCTTCTGCATCTGCGATATGACAAAACGTTTCAGAAATTATCATGAACAGATGCCTTTGATAAGTATTCACAAGTTTGAGGTACATAAAAAGTACGTAAGACCGTTTATTGATAACGATTTCTCTTTGTGAAGACGTTTCCCTCAGCAACGTTTGACGTCAACGTACTTCCATAAAAATCGCCATGTGTGCGGACTGTACAACAATATCGTATTTTCCTCTCGTTAGTTCGTAATGAAAAATCATCATTTCAAAATATTTCAATACATGTCTATTTAAAATTAATCAGATAGTATTTATAAAAACAGAAGTTATTTCATAAACAGTCTGAAAATTTGACTTTGCAGAAAAAGTGTCCAAATGTTTGATGCCATGTGTCTCTGTCATAAATGTGAAGTGAAGATTGTGATTTGTATTATTGTGTTCTTAAAATCCCGTAGATCTAAAAAAAAATAAGTAGTCAAAGTGTGATTTTTCCCCCACAAGGTCCCTTATCTCATGGCTGTTTACATTTGTTCCACATCGCCCCCTGGCCTGAAGGAAGGTGTTTTTCACGTCACTACTTATTTGTTATAAACAAGTTTATTTTCGGCACAAGCATATAAGTCAGAATGTCCTCCTTGACGCAACTGGATGTCAACCTTTACAGTAAAACCCTGTCCACATTTACAAGATATCTCTCTGAATCACTATCAAGTAGTGAAGATACCAGGTGTTCGCCAGTAGGTGTGCGTATTTTGTCCAACCGGTGGCAACCGTCACAAACACATGCACAGGCAAGTCAATTGTTCACCTGAAAAACGCGGGAACATATGGTGCATGTTAAAATACTCATGCATCAAATAACAAAATATGTTCAATAACATTCATAACACTTCCGAAACTTCCACTAAAAATATTTCCAGTGGGCATGAAATTCCTTTATTATCCATGTACCTGTCCCTTTTTTTCACATTTGAATATGAATGATCAGCATCCATATGATATCGTGTCCAGGTCTGCACACAGCATGCGGCGTGGTCGTAAACACTACTGACCGGACGGTAATTGAAGGACCAAACCCAGTCGACGTTACCTGCTCCTTCAGTTTGTCTGAAGCGGAGGAAGTGGACTATGTATATATTGACACGTACGTAGACAGTATTGGTTATGTGGATCTGGTGATGTTCTGGCCCCTCAACAACACAGCGGAGTACCTGCCCGGGGGAGCCTGGATGAGGAACAGGACGACCCTGGTGGTGGAAGGGGATCGGGTGGCTCTCAGGTTTAACCTGGTGGAGTGTGGAGACGCCACCAGCTACTACTGCAACGTCCAGACCAATGTGACATACGCCTATGAAGGCATGGACCTACATGTTGTAGGTGAGTCCTGAGTGAGTTAACGACGTTTTGAACAGTAGGGCCCAATCTAATGGCGTGTCAGCTTCATGGAGTAGCAAGCCCGAGTATTCCAGGCAAAATAAGATTTCACTTGGAACAACTTGCAACAGAATTTATTTCACAATAATGCATTTCCACAAGGACCCCCTCCCAAAAAAAAAAAACATACTGAAAGTCCCAAGCAATCCAAGTTTGGGAAATATGTCTAATTTGCATAATTCAATATGGCCTCCAATTATCAATATATCTTCCATATTTCAGATGAGGGTCAGTGTTTTGATGAAAAAAGCATCCATCCTTGGGTCTGTTTACCCCAGTATGCTTGTTTTCGGGACCTTGGCCGCCAAGAGTTTGATGGCTAGACATAGAATATCACCACACTATTGGTTTCTGATGACATATTTCAGTGATTTGAACTTATGCCCTGGCGTACACAAACCCAAGGATGCATGTAGAATACTTAATCATTTGCATCAATCCAATACAACCACCAAATATCAACAGTAACCTCTTAAATTACATCGTTATGGCGAGTTTAGATATCAATGATGTTTGGGGGTGTCCAATGAGAGACATTGAGATACATTACAGGGTGTCCATCTGTGAGACTCCATCTAAGATGGTTTGGGATACACTTGGGTGTCCATCTGTGAAGGTTTGGGATACACTTGGGTGTCCATCTGTGAAGGTTTGGGATACACTTGGGTGTCCATCTGTGAAGGTTTGGGATACACTTGGGTGTCCATCTGTGAAGGTTTGGGATACACTTGGGTGTCCATCTGTGAAGGTTTGGGATAATTTGGGGTGTCCACCTGAGATACATTTCCTGTGTCCTTTCATGAAAATGACAATCGAGTTATATTATTAGTAGCAGATAAATAATATGATACCTTATGCATCAGAAGTTAAACAAATCTGATTGACCGTCTTCAAATTTCCTACGAAATGAACTAGATATTTAACCATTCTTGTTTCTTATCGTCTTCAGGACCAATATCCAAACCAAAAATATTACTGCCTACCGATTGCTATGACGAGGGCCAGGGCCTAGATGTTGCCTGTTTGGGAGCAGTACGAGGCTCTGATACCGAGTTTAGGTGGTATGGTTATCGGGAAGGTCGTGCCCCTGTTGACCTGACGCCCTATGCTGATCCTGGTGCTCCCTATCAACCGGATGGAAGCTGTGGATACAGACTGGTCAGTCATCTGAGGGTCAACGTGACGAGCGAGGACGACGGCATGGTCCTGCGCTGTGTTGTGAGCGATCAGACAGAGGGCTTGTCGCCATCCCCTGGGGATCCCTGCGGTGAATACTGCACTGACACAGACAATCTCACAATGTCAGGTAGGGCATGTGGCAGTTGCTCCCTTTGCATAACTGATAATGTATGTTTTAGATATCATCTAAAGAATCCACAATCCCCTTTTCAAACATCACATCATTAGATGGAGGTAAACGTGTCACACTATACATCACATCATTAGATGGTTATAAAAGTGTTATATCATACATCCTATATTGAGATGGATATAAACAGGCCTTATCATACATCATATCATAAGATGGTTATAAAGTGCTATACCGTACATCTTTCATTATTTGGTTATAAACATGTTATAGCATTCATCACATCAGCAGGTGGATATAAACATGTCCTATACATCAGATCATGAGATGATTATTAACGTTATATATCACACGTCATATCATCCTCTATAACCCCCTATTGTTCTGCAACTGTCACGAGAACTTATGTTGGTATTCTAGGGCGCCCCTCCACCCCTACATTGACTGTGAGTAGAACATCGGGATGTGTTGGTGATATCGTGACCTTCCAGTGTTCTGGACCCGTCGGAGGTCCATCTGCTTCCTTCACGTGGACCTCACGCCGGCCGGGGCAGGTGCCCGTCGACCTGACATCTCTAGCTGACTCAGGGTATTCCCACCGACGTCAGGGGTCTTGTACATATGAGAGGCAGAGTCGCCTCACCCTGACCCTGGTGCAGGCAGACCAGGAGATGTCGGTGAGATGCGAGGTGTCTCACCCATCTCTCAGCATCTCAGCAGGAGAGAGCTGTGGGCTATACTGTGCGGAATCAGAGAGGATCACTCTTAAGGGTAGGTACAAGGACCGATAGGGTTAGTCTTGGGTAGCAACACTCTTGCTTGTAGGTTCAAGGACCGATAGGGTTAGTCTTGGGTAGCAACACTCTTGCTTATCGGTTCAAGGACCGATAGGGTTAGTCTTTAGTAGCAACACTCTTGCTTGTAGGTTCAAGGACCGATGGGGTTAGTCTTGGGTAGCAACACTCTTGCTTGTCGGTTCAAGGACCGATAGGGTTAGTCTTAGGTAGCAACACTCTTGCTAGTCGGTTCAAGGACCGATAGGGTTAGTGTTGGGTAGCAACACTCTTGGTTGTAGGTACAAGGACCGATAGGGTTAGTCTTGGGTAGCAACACTCTTGCTTGTCGGTTCAAGGACCGATAGGGTTAGTCTTGGGGAGCCACACTCTTGCTAGTCGGTACAAGGACGGATAGGATAAGTCTTGGGTAGAAACACCCTTGCTTGTCGGTTCAAGGACTGATAGGGTTAGTCTTGGGTAGCAACACTCTTGCTTGTCGGTTCAAGGACCGATAGGGTTAGTCTTGGGTAGCAACACTCTTGCTTGTAGGTTCAAGGACCGATAGGGTTAGTGTTGGGTAGAAACACTCTTGCTTGTCGGTTCAAAGACCGATAGAGTTAGTCTTGGGTAGCAACACTCGTGCTTGTCGGTTCAAGGACCGATAGAGTTAGTCTTGGGTAGCAAAACTCTTGCTTGTCGGTTCAAGGACCGATAGGGTTAGTCTTGGGTAGCAACACTCTTGCTTGTCGGTTCAAGGACCGATATGGTTAGTCTTGGGTAGCCACACTCTTGCTAGTCGGTTCAAGGACCGATAGGGTTAGTCTTGGGTAGCAACACTCTTGCTTGTCGGTTCAAGGACCGATAGGGTTAGTCTTGGGTAGCCACACTCTTGCTTGTCGGTTCAAGGACCGATAGGGTTAGTCTTGGGTAGCAACCCTCTTGCGTGTCGGTTCAAGGACCGATAGGGTTAGTCTTGGGTAGCCACACTCTTGCTTGTCGCTTCAAGGACCGATAGGGTTAGTCTTTAGTAGCAACACTCTTGCTTGTAGGTTCAAGGACCGATAGAGTTAGTCTTGGGTAGCAACACTCTTGCTTATCGGTTCAAGGACCGATAGGGTTAGTCTTGGGTAGCCACAATCTTGCTAGTCGGTTCAAGGACCGATAGGGTTAGTCTTTAGTAGCAACACTCTTGCTTGTCGGTTCAAGGACCGATAGGGTTAGTCTTGGGTAGCCACACTCTTGCTAGTCGGTTCAAGGACCGATAGGGTTAGTCTTGGGTAGCAACACTCTTGCTTGTCGGTTCAAGGACCGATAGGGTTAGTCTTGGGTAGCCACACTCTTGGTAGTCGGTTCAAGGACCGATAGGGTTAGTCTTGGATAGCAAGACTCGTGCTAGTCGGTTCAAGGACCGATAGGGTTAATCTTGGGTAGCAACACTCTTGCTTGTCGGTTCAAGGACCGATAGAGTTAGTCTTGGGTAGCAACACTCTTGCTTGTCGGTTCAAGGACGGATAGGGTTAGTCTTTAGTAGCAACACTCTTGCTGGTAGGTTCAAGGACCGATAGGGTTAGTCTTGGGTAGCAACACTCTTGCTGGTAGGCGCAAGAACCGATAGGGTTAGTCTTGAGTAGAAACACACTTGATGGTAGGCGCAAGGACCGATAGGGTTAGTGGTGGGTAGAAACACTCTTGCTGGTAGGTTCAAGGATAGATAGAACGATGTTTCAAACGGACAGGTCGGCCGACGTATACAATGTAACCCATCTAGCAAGAACCCTGCTAGTTCGGAATTCCCGCCTCGCTGACTGCTTGACTGTACCGAATGTTCATATGTGTACACACGGCAATAATGCCAAACAATATTCGTTATTCCAAACATTTAATAATCCCAGAGGATTTCACCAGCACTGACGGATTGACGAGGTTTGTCCACTGTTTCAGGGGTGACGACGTGTGGCTGTTCCCAAAATCCCGTCAACGGCTTCATCCTCGTGTGCTCCCTGTTGCTGGTACGACTACGTCACAACTGGATGCTTGTGTGACACACACAAACTGTATATACACACACACATATATATATACATCCAGAGAACATTAACATCGGTACAGAACACTATTTATTGTAAAATGATTGGGAGCCTGTGTTCTATTTTCATTGGTTGCTAAAGGTTGTTGAATAGCCTTTTTTACAGATTACAAATATTTTTCTCGACAAGTTTTATTCTTAATCCCAAATTTAAAACGAAACATGCCATCGATACTATATTCATTAAAGATTCAATTTGATTCGATTTATTGGACTTCTTGTCATATTCTTGAATCAAAAAAGTTTCATTTACCACGAACGCATAATCCATTGTATCATGAAGTCATGGTATCATCGCAACTATGGACTGCATCCTATGGATAGAGCATCTGGGATTCAACACTCGGTCGCATCCAACAAAGATGGCACTTTTTGTTGCCTTGCCTGACGCTCGACATTAAGGGGATAAAACAAGGAATGGTCGTCACGAAGTCATTACACTGTCTGAGTAGTATATTCATGTCAAGACACGGCTAGCCAAAGGTCCACTTGTTGTGAGGGTGTGTTTGTATTGGGACGACATTACGCATATTACCTGGGTACCGTTTCAAAAACAGTCTTACGTGCTTGTACAACTGGCGTAACTTGGGAATGCTGAACTAGGGGCGTTTCACAAAGCCAGTGTAATATTACGTCCCTGTATAATTGGCGGACGGTCGGGTAGCCTAGTGGTTAAAGCGTTCGTTAGTCACGCCGAAGACCCGGGTCCGACATGGTTACATTGTGTGAAGCCCGTGATATTGCTGGAATATTCCTTAAAGCGGCATAAAGCCATACTCACTCACTCACTCTTCCTCTTATGTTTACATTAGAAACCACGCGCTACATCGGTCCGTTTCAAATTGAAATAAGAAGTACCTGTCTGCAGTGGGACTTCATCAATGTCAATACACAAGTGTATCTCCATTCTACATCATGATCAGAACGGTTTCAAAACGGAAGTATTTTGGAACGTGTAATTGCACATGGTTCAATAGGTCAGCGATCTTAGAACGTTTCCATAAGTGGTCACAGGTAGTGATAAAAGTGACATATTACTCAAGTTCAGGATTATTTACTTGTGCTGACTAATTCAAAATAAAGGTTGCAAAAAGCTGTTCGAGTCAGCAGGAGAATTTCATGCTTAATTTTGGAGTTCGAGACAACCTGGATTTCGACATCCAGTTTGACAGTTCCAAGTATAAACGATGATGGTGATATATAAGGAATTTGCAGGGTCCGGAAGGTGATTCGAGAAAGCTAGGAAATCGACACATCCATGTTCGACACAACGAAATTCGACCGTAGGTTTCAAAAAGAATTGTTATTTAAAAGCAGCATATTGTAAATCATTCGAAAATCACAACAAATAGAGATTAATATTATCGGTGAGTGAGTGAGTGAGTGAGTGAGTAAGGGAGCGAGTGAGTGAGTGAGTGAGTGAGTGAGTGAGTGAGTGAGTGAGTATGGTTTTACGCCAACAATATCACGGCGGTGGACACCAGAAATGGGCTTCACACATTGTACCCATGTCGGGATTCGAACCCGGGTCTTCGACGCGACGAGCGAACGCTTTAACCACTAGGATACCCGACCGCCCCATAATACTATCAAAATAAACATCAGAAAGGGTAAATCAAATGTAAATTTTCGATAAATAAATGTTAAATAAAGATAACACAACATCCCAGTATAATCCAACTGGTGCGATGCAGAAGCATCACACAGTAAAATATATCTCGTATTTCCGTTCGAAAATTTAAAAAGGAACGTTCGTCAATACTGGCATTATAAATTACATTTTCTAGGAATAGCCCAGGTCACCAGTCCAGTGCAAGACCTATTTCACTAGCCCTCCGAGTTTGTAGCTAGTCCTGCTAGATTCCTGCTTGACAGACAGTTGAACATAAAAAAACAAATAACTACTGTGGCAATATATCAGTGTTCCATCAATTTATTTGGTGACAATGGTGTTTATTTTCGATTTGTATAAAAATCAGAGCATGGTGAACTGGTTGAGTATAATAACCCTCGAATATTACAAGTCATTTAGGAATACCATCTGCACAGTGTACAGTACACTACGGTAATAACGAACTCAAAGGAATCTCACATTTTAATTCGATATAAACGTAGTTCGTTATAAGCATACATACAACATATATACAGACCCCAAAACAGTTCGTTATGTCCGTCAGTTCGTTATAAGGATGTTCGTTATAAACGTAGTTTGTTATAAGCATACATACAACATATATACATACCCCAAAACAGTTCGTTATGTCCGTCAGTTCGTTCTAAGGATGTTCGTTATAAACGTAGTTTGTTACAAGCATACATACAACATATATACATACCCCAAAACAGTTCGTTATGTCCGTCAGTTCGTTCTAAGGATGTTCGTTATAAACGTAGTTTGTTACAAGCATACATACAACATATATACATACCCCAAAACAGTTCGTTATGTCCGTCAGTTCGTTCTAAGGATGTTCGTTATAAACGTAGTTTGTTACAAGCATACATACAACATATATACATACCCCAAAACAGTTCGTTATGTCCGTCAGTTCGTTATAAGAGTGTTCGTTATAACCCTAGTTTACTGTATTAGCCAAGTGGTGTGAATGTGATAGAGATACAGTAAAGTACGGTTATAACGAACTCAAAGGGACTACTAATTTTAGTTCGTTATAACCGTAGTTCGTTATAAGCATATATACAGCATAACTACAGCAAATAGTCGGGACCAAAAAAGTAAGTTCGTTATATCCGTTTGTTCGTTATAAGCGTGTTCGTTATAACCGTAGTTTACTGTACATGCAACCATATGTACATGGAGCCTCGCCAAGACGCTGATGGAGACCATCTACATCCACACATTAACACTGGAGCTAGTCTGTGATGCTCAGACTGCCTCCGTGGTCTAGTGGTAGAGCGTCTGCCCGGTGAGCGGAAGTTCAAGGGTTCGATTCCCGGCCGCATCATACCAAAAGACGTAAAAAGATGGTACTTGTTGTTACCCTGCCTGGCGCTCGGTATTAAGGGGGTACAACAAGGAACGGTCGGCTCGGAGTCAGTATACTGTTTTCTTGGTTGGGTATTTATGTTCAACTGCGGCATGGTCTATCAGGGGGCTAGCACTATTAAATCGATATTATTCCCTGGTGGTTTCATCGATGATGGTTGCATCATATATGCTAATGTCGATATTCACTGGTGGTTGCATCATATATGCTAATGTCGATATTCACTGGTGGTTGCATCATATATGCTAATGTCGATATTCACTGGTGGTTGCATCATATATGCTAATGTCGATATTCACTGGTGGTTGCATCATATATGCTAATGTCGATATTCACTGGTGGTTGCATCATATATGCTAATGTCGATATTCACTGGTGGTTGCATCATATATGCTAATGTCGATATTCACTGGTGGTTGCATCATATATGCTAATGTCGATATTCACTGGTGGTTGCATCATATATGCTAATGTCGATATTCACTGGTGGTTGCATCATATATGCTAATGTCGATATTCACTGGTGGTTGCATCATATATGCTAATGTCGATATTCACTGGTGGTTGCATCATATATGCTAATGTCGATATTCACTGGTGGTTGCATCATATATGCTAATGTCGATATTCACTGGTGGTTGCATCATATATGCTAATGTCGATATTCACTGGTGGTTGCATCATATATGCTAATGTCGATATTCACTGGTGGTTGCATCATATATGCTAATGTCCATATTCACTGGTGGTTGCATCATATATGCTAATGTCCATATTCACTGGTGGTTGCATCACCTATGCTTATGTCCATATTGCCCTACTGAGACTGACATGAACTGACTATGCCGGCATCCCTGGCCAGGCTGTAGAAGGCACCAGCCTTGTCCTGCAGGAGTCTGTCCGGGGTATCAAACTCCAGGATCTGGCCTGCAGACAACACAAGGATCCTGAAACAAAAAATGACTATTAATATTATATAATTGGTGATGTGCTTTGGGGATCGTATAAGTACACTCTGAGTCAGTCAGGTCACCAGACCTGATATAGACTCGGATAGTGTTCAGTCTGTGCGCTATAGTGATGACATACTGACCTGTCATAGTCTGGGGTAGTGTTCAGCCTGTGAGCTATAGTGATGACACACTCACCTGTCATAGTCTAGGATAGTGTTCAGCCTGTGAGCTACAGTGATGACACATTGACCTGTCATAGTCTAGGATAGTGTTCAGCCAGTAAGCTATAGCGATGACACACTGACCTGTCATAGTGAAGGATAGTGTTCAACCTGTGAGCTATAGTAATGACACATTGACCTGTCATAGTGAAGGATAGTGTTCACCCTGTGAGCTACAGTGATGACACACTGATCTGTCATAGTCTGGGATAGTGTTCAGCCTGTGAACTATAGTAATGACACATTGACCTGTCATAGTGAAGGATAGTGTTCAGCCTGTGAGCTACAGTGATGACACACTGATCTGTCATAGTCTGGGATAGTGTTCAGCCTGTGAGGTATAGTAATGACACATTGACCTGTCATTGTCTAGGATAGTGTTCAGCCTGTGAGCTATAGTGATGACGCACTGACCTGTCATTGTCTAGGATAGTGTTCAGCCTGTGGGCTATAGTGATGACGCACTGACCTGTCATTGTCTAGGATAGTGTTCAGCCTGTGGGCTATAGTGATGACGCACTGACCTGTCATTGTCTAGGATAGTGTTCAGCCTGTGGGCTACAGTGACAACACACTGACCTGTCATTGTCTAGGATAGTGTTCAGCCTGTGACCTACAGTGACAACACACTGACCTGTCATTGTCTAGGATAGTGTTCAGCCTGTGGGCTATAGTGATGACGCACTGACCTGTCATTGTCTAGGATAGTGTTCAGCCTGTGACCTACAGTGACAACACACTGACCTGTCATAGTCTAGGATAGTGTTCAGCCTGTGAGCTATAGTGATGACATACTGACCTGTCATAGTCTAGGATAGTGTTCAGCCTGTGAGCTATAGTGATGACGCACTGACCTGTCATAGTCTAGGATAGTATTCAGCCTGTGAGCTATAGTGATGACTGTACAGTCACTGAAGGCGGTCCTGATGGTGTTCTGGATGAGTTCATCCGTCTCCATGTCGACAGCTGCTGTGGCTTCGTCCAGGATCAACACCTTAGTCCTCCTCAGCAGACTCCGAGCTAGACAGACCAACTGTCGCTGTCCTACACTGGAATACAACACACAAGCTTCATCTAGTGTCGGACAGTACGAGCTAGACAGACCAACTGTCGCTGTCCTACACTGTAACACAACATACTAGATTGGTCCAGTGTCAAACACTACGAGCTAGACAGACCAACTGTTGCTGTCCTACACTGGAATACAACACACTACAGTGATCTTCTGTCAGACAGTACTGGCTAGACAGACCAACAGTCGCTGTCCTACACTGGTATACAACACACTACAGTGATCTTCTGTCAGACAGTACGGGCTAGATAGACCCCTAAAACACCCCCCACCCACACAAACCCACACACACCCCTCCCCCCACCCCTCTCGACACACCTTTTAAAATCAGGTTATAGTTCTACAGGGAGGTTGTGAGGTAGGGAGGGAGGATGGGAGAGAGGGACTTCACCTCAGATTCTGTCCCCCTTCCTCACACTCATGCTGTAGTCCGTCAGGGAGGGAGTGACTCTACCTCAGATTCTGCCCCCCTTCCTCACACTCATGCTATAGTCCGTCAGGGAGGGAGTGACTCTACCTCAGATTCTACCCCCTTCCTCACACTCATGCTGTAGTCCGTCAGGGAGGGAGCGACTCTACCTCAGATTCTGACCCCCTTCCTCACACTCATGCTATAGTCCGTCAGGGAGGGAGTGACCCTACCTCAGATTCTGTCCCCCTTCCTAACACTCATGCTGTAGTCCGTCAGGGTGGGAGTGACCCTACCTCAGATTCTGTCCCCCTTCTTCACACTTATGCTATAGTCCGTCAGGGAGGGAGTGACCCTACCTCAGATTCTGTCCCCCTTCCTCACACTCATGCTGTAGTCCGGCGGGGAGGGCGGTAACGTGGGCCTTGAGATGAGCCTGCTCCAGGGCTTGCCATACTTCCTCATCAGAGTGAGCATCAAATGGGTCCAGGTTCATGCGCAGAGATCCAGAAAACAGCACAGGGTCCTGGGAGATTTATCTTTTTTTAGCTGAAGTTAAGCTAAACCTAAACTTAACATTATTCCAGAAAATAACATGTTCATAAGGGTAGTAGTCTGGCCAAGTTGACATATGCTTCTGGTTACTAGGAATAGGATCTCTCGTCATGTTTTGGAAATATAGCTCAAATAGGTTTCAGAATTGTATTTTAGGAAAGAAATGACAGACAGATTGAGAGCAATGACAGAATTGAAAGTGCATCATCGTGTTGTTGGATTTATTTTTTCGCGTGAATTAGTTTTTTAAAAATATTTCCTCACAAGAGTCGTTTTGTTCATCATTTTCGGATAAATATCTTTCTCTTCTAATGGCAACGAGAAAAAGTAAAATGTGGCGCGCTATAACGGCGAGTTGGCAATAATTGGTCCTCGGCGATAAGTGGTCGCTAAATAGTATGGTTTGTGAAAATGTGATCAGTGACGTGAATACAGACAACAGGCACCGAATCAAGCAGTGCAGTCGTTCTCTATGGTGGCCGAGAGGGGACATCGCTTTCTCGCTTTATCGCTTTATTGCTCTATCGCTTTTTCGCTTTCTCGCTTTCTCGCTTTTTTGCTTTCCCGCGGTTGAGCAATATCCCCTCTTGACCAACTTTAGGGGTCGCATGTGATCTCTGCTGCAATTGGGAGGGAATTTTGAACTTTTCTCACTATTTAAGTAGTTTTGAGTAAAATGTGATTGGTTGATTTACGGCCCTATTGAGTTGTATGTGACCATCACGCCGAAAGCGCGCGGCAGATCATGGCAATACGCTCTAAATAAATCAGGTTAAAATCTAAATGTATACTTTTCAAAAGAAGTTAAGAAGACTATGGTTAATTAGTCATGACTAATTGTTTTGCAAAAATACAATCTTATAATTATGGTTGTACTATAACATGTTTTCGGTCGTATATGATGTTACAGTGTGTCATTCAGTTGTCTGAAAATATTCTTTTTGTCATTTGATGTATGTTTAACTTGAATTGTGTCTCTTGTCTTGTGCAAATCTACAAGTATAAATTATGTACTTGCATATAGTAATTTGATAAACACCGCTGTGAGTGAGTGAGAATGGTTTCACGTCGCTTTCAACAATAATCCAGTAATATCACGGCGGGGAACACCAGAAACGGGCTTCACACATTGTACCCATGTGGGGAATGGAACTTGGTCTTCGACTTGACGAGCGAACGCTTTAACTACTAGGCTACCCCACTGCCCCTATCGTCGTGGCGTTACCACAGTTGATATGTGGTTGTGTAAATTACACATATTGAGAGACATAATAATTAGAGTAGCCACACAGTTAAAGTTGATAACAATATGAAATGCATTACTACGATTGTCTATAACCTATGTTAATTCAGCTATCATTGTAAGATTTTATGTATATCTTAAGTATAGTTTTGTCAACATTATGTTTGTCTGTGTGTTTGTTTGTGTGTGTGTCTGACTCATTGTCTGTGTAAAAATGTAGTAGATAACTACATAACTCACATCAAAATTATATATGTATTAGTAACATATCTATCTACTACAAGATGCTTAAAATATTATTATAAGAGGCAAAATAGCGGTGATAATTATAGAAATGGATCACTAAATATCAGCAAAAACCGTTTTAATGTACGGCATTATGGGAAATAATGCTTTCTCACTCTACCGCTTTCTCGCTTTATCGCTTTATCGCTTCTATCTTGAAATTAACGTTAGAGTTAATTATAAATGCAAAATATGAGAGTAGACTTAATTAATTTAACTTTGCATTTATGTCTCAGTAACGACTGTTGATAAGACGGCCTCACTCGCACACTTTGATAAGCGGAAATACCAACATGAATATAAAACTAATCAACTATCTATTTCCACATTACAGTTACTGAGAACAATATGTCATCCCAAAACTAGAAATTACATAATGGACATCCGGTAGTATTACTATTGCTTGGGTGAGGACTTCCACTTTGATGACATCTACTCCGCAAATAGAATAAACATTGATATAACCTAAGTGTTGTTTTTAGGAAAACACTATTGTTTTTTAGGAAGTACGTACTACTCAGCAATGTTATTTGCTGTTTGTTTTCATAACTTGGCCTGGGGGTGGGGGATCCAATAAAACTCTCAATAGGGCCATAAATCAATCAAATTTACGCAGAAATCCGTAAAAGCCCCTTCGTCCGTACTGTTAAATTATGTTTGAGTAGACAGTGAGAAAATTTCAACATTCCATCCATATGTATAATTTAAAATATGACTGGAAAAATCTCAGTTTTCTTTTATGATTTAAACCAACCACAGCCTCCGCCCACTGAGGTCAAGTTTAGCAATTCATTAATATTGTTTTATGTACATACTTTTTATCGTATAGAAACTCATAACACATGCGACCCATATAGTGGCCAAGAGGGAATATTGCTATACCGCGAGAAAGCAATAGAGCGATAAAGCGATAAAGCGAGAAAGCGATAAAGCGAGAAGGCGATAGAATGAGAAAGCAATAGAATGAGAAAGCGAGAAAGCAATGTCCCCTCTCGGCCACCATAGTTCTCAATGAACCCTGTGTAGTCTGCTGAATAGGTGGCGGGTGTCTGAGGCATATGCAAGGATATCTTTGTTGTGGGACAAAACCAGGGTCTTCCGCGTTACGAGCGAACGTTTTAACCACAAGGCTACCCGACCACCCTTTTACTGTATGTGCTTTCCCAAAAGGTGCATATTGGTATTGCCACAAAAGCACAACCTAAACAATGTTCATAGCAGAAAATCATGACTCTGGTCAAGGGATCAGTGTGCACTGGATTTCCATTATCAGCACCTGGGGAGCATACAACTCACTTGTGGTAGGATGGTCAGTCTGGAACGGAGGTCATGCAGACCTATGTTGGCGATGTCCTGTCCGTCTATCGTGATACTTCCCCCTTCAGCCTCCAGGATGCGGAACAGGGCCAATGTTAAGGATGACTTACCTGCCCCTGTCCTGCCAACGACACCAACCTGAACGAGAGGAAAACAACATGGTTAACACCAACCAGGGCGAGAGGAAACAGATATGTTTAACACAAACCTGGGCCAGAGGAAACAGACATGCTTAACACCAGCCTGGGCGACAGGAAACTGACAGGTTTAACACCATCCTGGGCCAGAGGAAACAGACATGTTTAACACCAACCTGGGCGACAGGAAACAGACATGCTTAACACCAACCTGAACGAGAGGAAACAGACATGTTTAACACAAACCTGAGCCAGAGGAAACAGAGATGTTTAACACCAACTTGAACGAGAGGAAACAGACATGTTAACACAAACCTGGGCCAGAGGAAACATACATGCTTAACACCAACCTGAACGAGAGGAAACAGACATGTTTAACACAAACCTGGGCGACAGGAAACAGACATGTTTAACACCAACCTGGGCCAGAGGAAACAGACATGTCTAACACCAACCTGGGCGAGAGGAAACAGACATGTTAAACACAAACCTGGACGAGAGGAAACAGACATGTTTAACAATAATCTGGGCGAGAGGAAACAAACATGTTTAACACCAACCTGGGCCAGAGGAAACAGACATGTTTAACACCAGCCTGGGCGAGAGGAAACAGACATGTTTAACACCAACCTGGGCCAGAGGAAACAGACATGTTTAACACAAACCTGGGCCAGAGGAAACAGACATGTTAAACACCAACCTGTGCCAGAGGAAACAGACATGTTTAACAACAACCTGGGCCAGAGAAAACAGAGATGTTTAACACAAACCTGGGCCAGAGGAAACAGACATGTTTAACATCAACCTGGACGAGAGAAAACAGACATGTTTAACACCAGCCTGGGCGAGAGGAAACAGACATGTTTAACACCAACCCGGTCGAGAGGAAACACAGATGTTTAACAGCAACCTGGGCCAGAGGAAACAGACATGTTTAACAACAACCTGGGCCAGAGGAAACAGATATGTTTAACACCATCTTTAGCACATCTGTTGCATATCCTGTATTAGGAATGAACATTGTGTTTAAAGAGCCTTTGCGATAGAGGATATTTGCTAGGAATGCCACGATTTACCTATATATCGATGCAGGCGATACGATACGCGATACATACTTACCTGCATCGATTCATATTTGAATACTATATCGATTCAGATTGAATTCCGGTATCGTTGCACACATGAAACATTTAGAACATCAATGAAACGACTTTGCTGGCAAAATGGATCCTGCCTACATTTTAGTAAACAATTTTATCCACTTTGGAGAATGTACACAGGTTTTAGACTAAATTCTGTTCTAGTCCTTATCTAACTGGTGTTGACATTCAAATTATATTTGACATAAAATATTGATTGAAATGAGACATTTTGACAAATGAAACCGAAATGAAGTTTTAAACCATTTTAATAATATTAATTCCATGGGAAATTTTAAGATTCGAATTGTGTTGCAATTAATGTTACTAGATTATATTGATATCTCCTCCGATATTTTCGAACATTAATTATTCAACTGCAATTATTTCAAAATATTAGTATAAAAAAATCCATTATCATTTATATTTCTGTTCATTGTCTACTTTAGAAGAATATTCTTATGTTTTGTTGTCGTGCTGAATGAATGTTGATGCGATATCTATGACAACTATGCGAGAATATCGCGGAATCGCGGCCTAAGACAATCTTGTAAAATTTTGTTCATTTTCTAACATCCCTGGCATCCAGCTTGTGCACAAATGGCAAAATAACAATATTCATGTCGTGGTAAAATGTATGAAAGGCGCCTGCCATTTTGGCAGCACGGTCGACGATTAAACTGGTCACGACGGCGCTTTGCGTTGACACGCTTTGATGGTATTAGAGAAGGATCCCAGCGAGAAATATCAGAGTGACGTCCCTTTACTTTACACTTGACGAGGAAACCTAATCTTTTTTAATGCATTTTTGAAAGTAAAGATCGGCGGTAATAAAAAAAAGGAGTAATTTGTAATTGAATATTTTTTTCAACATTTGGACTTTTAAAGAGCGGCGCATCCGTAAACCAAGAAATAAAAAATATGTCGTCTTATTTGTTAAAAAGTAGCATCATAAACCATTGATGTCTTGCAAAATGAAAGTATCCTTCATTTAGAAAGAATGCCTACAAAAATAGAAATTGTCATAGCCCTTACATGAATCTATCTGTAAAACCAAACTTACTATAATGTTTAATGCATGATAAACTTGGTAGACATGTATCTTCAGACAGCTAACATGTACTATCTGCACTCAAATTTTACTTCCTAACTTCTCATAAATAATCATTAGGGCTAAATACATTTGGCCAAATCCCTCTTATCACACCAGTGAGGAACAGCCACTGGCCAAGTTCCAAATGGAATCTAGGATAATGTATTCCGTCAGTGTTTCACTTAATGTGGACCAACCTTCTGCCCAGGTGTGATACGAGCTGTTATCCCCTGCAGCACCAGGTCCAGTTCCGGCCGGTACCTCACCTGCAGGTTGTCTAGTTCCACCTGCCCTCCCTCCGGCCACTCCGGCGGTGGACGCTGGTCATCAACTATCCAGGCTCCCTAGGAAAAGGTGAAAAGTCTCAGTGACCTGACGCTCATTTTCGGTCATGGTGATATGCTAGTACTGTCAAATAGTCAGTTGGCCACCGGCGGAAAGGAGGCATAATTTAGATTTTCGTTCCCACATTTTCCTGTATACCTTTAACCTTTACTTAAGCATAAAGAAGGTATATGTACACAATTTTCATTTGGTACTAAGCTTGCAAGTGTGTGCGTAAATTTTCACGGCGTCAAAATTGCATAAAATGAAGGAAAAATGCATAATTTCACAAACTTGGCTGTAACATTTTTATTAGTCATTAAGCTATCCAAATTATGTCTTTGATTACAGGTAATGCGTTCGGTTATATGAATTAGGCAAACGTTTTGTTTCATATAACTGTTATTCTAATTTTCAGTGAAAATATTGATAAAAATCATGTTTTTTTCCCCTTCTTTTTCAAATCTTGTGAGTAGGTAAAACACTAATTCCATCGTATTTTGGCAATAAAACCACTATAACTTAACCATTGTGCCATCCTTTACAGAAAACAAAATGCAAATATATGAAATAGAGGCTGATATATTTTATACAATGTTACACCCCCCACAAAACCAATTTTGAAGAAAATTGCTTATTGACATATGATGGTAGATTATGTTAATATAGTGGATGAGTGGGATAATTGCATTGTATAATTAAAGCCATCACCACTGCTTGTCTCAACCACCTGACACATGACCAATATTCTATAACCACTACTCCCTGACCACGACAGTAACCACCACTCCATCACCTGACACATGGCACATACTCTCCAACAAGTACTCCCTGACCAAGGAGTTCTATACACTGACCTCTGCAGGGAGTTCTGTGTACTCCACGATCCTCTCCACGGACACGATGTTGGTCTCCAGCTGTGTAGTCACCTGGACCAGGATGTTGAGCGCTGACGTCACCTGGCAGCATACAAGTTATCATAATTCATACTCAGTATCATGATTATTTAAGATATGCAATACATAAGGAGTACTGAGTCAGCCCAAACATTGTCCTACGTGTATAATGTACATGGCAGATATTCCCACCATTGTGATAGCTGTGCATGACAGACAGTTCCACTATTGTCATAGCTGTGCATTGCAGACAGTCCCACAATTATCATACCAGTACATGACAGACAGTCCCACAATTATCCTACCAGTACATGACAGACAGTTCCACTATTGTCATACCTGTACATGACAGACAGTTCCACTATTGTCATACCTGTACATGACAGACAGTTCCACTATTGTCATACCTGTACATGACAGACAGTTCCACTATTGTCATACCTGTACATGACAGACAGTTCCACTATTGTCATACCCGTACATGACAGACAGTTCCACTATTGTCATGCCTGTACATGACAGACAGTTCCACTATTGTCATACCCGTACATGACAGACAGTTCCACTATTGTCATACCCGTACATGACAGACAGTTCCACTAGTGTCATACCTGTACATAACAGACAGTTCCACTATTGTCATGCCTGTACATGACAGACAGTTCCACTATTGTAATACCTGTACATGACAGACAGTTCCACTATTGTCATACCTGTACATGACAGACAGTTCCACAATTGTCATACCTGTACATAACAGACAGTTCCACTATTGTCATGCCTGTACATGACAGACAGTTCCACTATTGTCATACCTGTACATGACAGAAAGTTTCTAGTATTGTCATACCTCTACATGACAGACAGTTCCACTATTGTCATACCTGTACATAACAGACAGTTCCACTATTGTTATACCTGTACATGACAGACAGTTCCACTATTGTCATACCTGTACATGACAGACAGTTCCACTATTGTCATACCTGTACATGGCAGACAGTTCCACTATTGTCATACCTGTACATGACAGAGAGTCCCACTATAGTCATACCTGTACATGGCAGAAAGTCCCACTATTGTCATATCTGTGCATGGCAGACAGTCCCAACATTGTCATATCTGTTCATGACAGACAGTCCAACAATTATAATACCAGTACATGACAGACAGTCCCACCATTATCATATCCGTGCAAGGCAGACAGTCCCACCATTGTCATACCAATGCATGGCAGACAGTCCCACTATTGTCATAGCTTTGCATGGCAGACAGTCCCACTATAGTCATACCTGTACATGGCAGACAGTCCCACTATTGTCCTATATATGTGTTATAAATAGTCATAATATTGTTCCACCTGTACAGCTTACATCATAGACACTCCCATATTTTCCAAATCCGTTTCTTTTTTTTAATCAAAGTACTCATGTGATTTGATGCCCTTCGCAAAGTAAGACCCGTTTTGTAACAATATAGATCTTGATTATCGATCAGATCGTCTGCGCCGCCATTTTGAAGCAAGTGCAAGTGATATTGGAGGTGGAATCTGATTGGTCAACGGGGACTATTTTGGCAAGGGTGGAAACTGGACTTTTACAGTCAGTTAACTCTCTTCCCATTGGAAGATGGTCCCACAATTGTCCTACCTGAACAGCATACATCACAGACAGTCCCACCATTCCACCTGACACCCCCGGGGTCACCACAGCAAAGAAGGCGGCGCTCACGATGACGAGATTACCTAGGAATTCTAGTCTAATTTTCAACCACCTGAAAATATCAGAAATGCAGTTAGTGATTTGCTTGCTTCCCACTCAGTGTGAAGGTGAACATGTTTCAATCAATGGTTCACAGGCTTATTTGGGTAACAATCGGCAGTCAGATCTGACCCAGCACATGACGCATCTGTAGAATGACACACCTTTTAACACATGAAGGCTGAAACATGACATGACTCATCTGTAGACTTGAACATGACATGGTGGATGGCAGCGCACGATACACCAGTTAATTGAAAATGGAACTCACCTGTTGACACTTCATATGCCTCACCTGTTGATTGACACATAACATGGCTCAATGGTTTGGGGACACAGTACATACCTCACCTGTTGATTGACACAGCACGTGCCTCACCTTTTGATTGACACGTCACATACCTCACCTGTTGATTGACACAGCACATGCCTCACCTGTTGATTGACACAGTACATACCTCACCTGTTGATTGACACACCCCATACCTCACCTGTTGAATGACACAGCACGTGCCTCATCAGTTGATTGACACAGCACATACCTCACCTATTGATTGACACAGCACATACCTCACCTGTTGATTGACACAGCACGTGCCTCTCCTTTTGATTGACACAGTACATACCTCACCTGTTGATTGACACAGCACATACATCAACTGTTGATTGACACAGCACATACCTCACCTGTTGATTGACACACCCCATACCTCACCTGTTGATTGACACACCCCATGCCTCACCTGTTGATTGACACACCCCATACCTCACCTGTTGATTGACACAGCACATATCTCACCTTTTCATTGACACAGTACATGTCATACCTGTTGATTGAGAGTAGAACTCACCTGTTGGCAGACACAGCAGCATAGTGGAAGATATTGTTCCTGTCAACGCGTCTCAGGAATTCACGCAGGAACCTCTTATCCATACCATATGCTCGTATTAAGGTGGCGCCACTGATTGTCTCAGAAAAGTGTTGGAAGATCGGTGATCTTGAAGTGGAATCATTCCGTCTCAGTTGGCGGGAGGTAGGTATGTACATTCTCTGTGGAAGCCGAACATCAAGCAGCCATTTTCGTTCATTGTAGTATGTGTATGACATAGTGATTGAGTGAGCGAGTGAGTATGGTTTTACGCCGCTTTTAGCAATATCACGACAGGGGACACCAGGAATGGGCTTCACACATTGTACCCATGTCGGAAACGGGCCCGGGTCTTTGGCGTGAAGAGCGAACGCTTAAACCACTATGCTACCCGCTACTTATCACAGGTGAGTATGTTAACAATGAAAGCTGATATAACAATAAAAATGGGGAGACATACTATGTGCAGAAAACAGATTTAATGTCAGCAATGGAACAGCCATGAGACACAATTTTCTCACCTGTATCACAACGTATAGGACCGGTATTTGGACGGCCACAACAAGAAACAATGGCGTGCTGTATGAGATGATGGTGACGAGGGTAACGAACCTGGACACATTGTTCTCGCCTGTATCACAACGTATAGGACCGGTATTTGGACGGCCACAACAAGAAACAATGGCGTGCTGTATGAGATGATGGTGACGAGGGTAACGAACCTGGACACATTGTTCTCGCCTGTATCACAACGTATAGGATCAGTATTGGGACGGCCACAACAAGAAACAATGGCGTGCTGTATGAGATGATGGTAACGAACCTGGCCACATCTTCTCACCTGTATCACAACGTATAGGATCAGTATTGGGACGGCCCCAACAAGAAACAATGGCGTGCTGTATGTGATGATGGTGACGAGGGTAACGAACCTGGACACATTGTTCTCGCCTGTATCACAACGTATAGGACAAGTATTGGGACGGCCACAACAAGAAACAATGGCGTGCTGTATGAGATGATGGTGACGAGGGTAACGAACCTGGACACATTGTTCTCGCCTGTATCACAACGTATAGGATCAGTATTGGGACGGCCACAACAAGAAACAATGGCGTGCTGTATGAGATGATGGTGATGAGGGTAACGAACCTGGACACATTGTTCTCGCCTGTATCACAACGTATAGGATCAGTATTGGGACGGCCACAACGAGAAACAATGGCGTGCTGTATGAGATGATGGTGATGATGGTAACGAACCTGGACACATTGTTCTCACCTGTATCACAACGTAAAGGATCAATATTGGGACGGCCACGACGAGAAACAATGGCGTGCTGTATGAGATGATGGTAACGAACCTGGCCACATCTTCTCACCTGTATCACAACGTATAGGACCAGTATTGGGACGGCCACAACGATAAGCAATAGCGTACTGTACGAGATGATGGTTATAAACCTGGACACATTGTTCTCACCTGTATCACAACGTATAGGACAAGTATTGGGACGGCCACGACGAGAAACAATAGCGTACTGTACGAGATGATGGTTATAAACCTGGACACATTGTTCTCACCTGTATCACAACGTAAAGGACCAGTATTGGGACGGCCACAACGATAAGCAATAGCGTACTGTACGAGATGATGGTTATAAACCTGGACACATTGTTCTCACCTGTATCACAACGTAAAGGACCAGTATTGGGACGGCCACAACGATAAGCAATAGCGTACTGTACGAGATGATGGTTATAAACCTGAACACATTGTTCTCACCTGTATCACAACGTATAGGACAAGTATTGGGACGGCCACGACGAGAAACAATAGCGTGCTGTATGAGATGATGGAGATGATGGTTATAAACCTGGACACATTGTTCTCACCTGTATCACCACGTAAAGGACCAGTATTGGGACGGCCACGACGAGAAACAATAGCGTACTGTACGAGATGATGGTTATAAACCTGGACACACTGTTCTCACCTGTATCACAACGTATAGGACAAGTATTGGGACGGCCACGACGAGAAACAATAGCGTACTGTACGAGATGATGGTTATAAACCTGGACACATTGTTCTCACCTGTATCACCACGTAAAGGACCAGTATTGGGACGGCCACGACGAGAAACAATAGCGTGCTGTACGAGATGATGGAGATGATGGTTATAAACCTGGACACATTGTTCTCACCTGTATCACCACGTAAAGGACCAGTATTGGGACGGCCACGACGAGAAACAATGGCGTGCTGTACGAGATGATGGAGATGATGGTTATAAATCTGGACACATTGTTCTCACCTGTATCACAACGTATAGGACCAGTATTGGGACGGCCACAACGATAAGCAATAGCGTACTGTACGAGATGATGGTTATAAACCTGGACACATTGTTCTCACCTGTATCACAACGTAAAGGACCAGTTTTGGGACGGCCACAACGATAAGCAATAGCGTACTGTACGAGATGATGGTTATAAACCTGAACACATTGTTCTCACCTGTATCACAACGTATAGGACAAGTATTGGGACGGCCACGACGAGAAACAATAGCGTGCTGTACGAGATGATGGAGATGATGGTTATAAACCTGGACACATTGTTCTCACCTGTATCACCGCGTAAAGGACCAGTATTGGGACGGCTACGACGAGAAACAATGGCGTGCTGTACGAGATGATGGAGATGATGGTTATAAATCTGGACACATTGTTCTCACCTCTGTCACAACGTAAAGACCAGTATTGGGACGGCCACAACGAGAAACAATAGCGTACTGTACGAGATGATGGTTATAAACCTGGACACATTATTCTCACCTGTATCACCACGTAAAGGACCAGTATTGGGACGGCCACTACGAGAAACAATGGCGTGCTGTACGAGATGATGGAGATGATGGTTATAAACCTGGACAAATTGTTCAGCCATTGCCTCAAGATCCGTGCCATCTGGCCGTCAATAATTCCAACATCGCGGGTAAAGCGGTTCATGATTCGTCCCGTTGGAGTTGTGTCGAAGAATGCCATTGGTTGTCTGAGAACGTTGTCCAGGAGGTTCTGGTGGAGTGTGGCAGCAGCACGGACCATCTGCGTGTAGGTGGCAGCCACGAAGAAGAATATCATGATGGCTGGAAGCATAATAAGGTTGGGAGGGATGAAAAGCTGCAAAGCAAAAACGAAAAGAGCATGAGCACAGAAATAAGCTCAAGCAGCATGTCTTTCTTTAACGATATAAAGCACGTTAGCAACGTTAGCACGTTACAACCTTGAAAACTCGCTTGAAGGTAGTATTGTTTGAACGAGACAAAAATGTTTACTATGTGTACATATTCTGTCAGTTTTATTCAGTTCGAATTTGTTGCAAAATTACAGCCTTGCGAACTGCATCAGAATTACAGTCCTCAAATGCTGCAATTCGATGAGGAGTACAATCATTCGAGTTTTACGTGTTTTCGGCACAATTTAGTAGTCTTAGACTAGCGGATTAGCATGTATTTCGATAAACACAGACGTTGGCATCGGTAATTCTTGTTGACTGGGTGGACAAAATGTACTGTACTCTGCACACAGCTAGATAATGGATTGTCTTACCCTGCGAGATGGTTGCTGCACTATACACAACTAGGTGTTGGATTGTCTTACCCTGTGAGAAGGTTGCTGCACTGTACACTGGTAGGTAATGGATTGTCTTACCCTGAGAGAAGGTTGCTGCACTATACACAGCTAGGTATTGGATTGTCTTACCCTGAGAGAAATTTGCTGCACTATACACAGCTAGGTAATGGATTGTCTTACCCTGAGAGAGGTTGCTGCATTGTACACAGCTAGGTAATGGATTGTCTTACCCTGTGAGAAGGTTGCTGCACTATACACAGCTAGGTAATGGATTGTCTTACCCTGAGAGAGGTTGCTGCATTGTACACAGCTAGGTAATGGATTGTCTTACCCTGAGAGAGGTTGCTGCATTGTACACTGCTAGGTATTGGATTGTCCTACCCTGAGAGAAGGTTGCTGCACTATACACAGCTAGGTAATGGATTGTCTTACCCTGAGAGAAGGTTGCTGCATTGTACACAGCTAGGTATTGGATTGTCTTACCCTGTGAGAAGGTTGCTGCACTGTACACTGCTAGGTAATGGATTGTCTTAGCCTGAGAGAAGGTTGCTGCACTATACACAGCTAGGTAATGGATTGTCTTACCCTGAGAGAAGGTTGCTGCACTATACACTGCTAGGTATTGGATTGTCTTACCCTGAGAGAAGGTTGCTGCACTATACACAGCTAGGTATTGGATTGTCTTACCCTGAGAGAGGTTGCTGCATTGTACACAGCTAGGTAATGGATTGTCTTACCCTGAGAGAAGGTTGCTGCACTGTACACTGCCAGGTAATTGATTGTCTTACCCTGAGAGAAGGTTGCTGCACTATACACTGCTAGGTAATAGTAGGACAACGATGTTGCATCGCTTGTGTTGGCCCAGAGGGTCAGGTTCTTCAGTCTTGGTTCGTCTGTCCAGACACTGAGCCAAACGTTGCTGAAAATCCCGGTTGACCGGAACAGCAGGAAGAAGAACAGGATGATCACCCCTCCCGTCACTCCCAGAGCCCGGAAATACGTCCGGATTACAGAACACTGCACCTTCAAGAGGCAGATGTAACTCTGTGAATAACTCGGCAATACAAAATATATCATCATCAAGCGTTTGATTGAAAAGGGAAATACAGTGAAAATGACATAATGGACTATATATCCTTCGTTTTGCAGAGAGAGAGAGAGAGAGTGAGAGCGAGAGAGGAGAGAGAGAGAGAGAATTGGTGGATGAGTGAAGCGGGAACGTGAGTAAATGAGCTGTTGGTGTGAGTGAGTGAGTGAGTGGGGTTTAACGGCGCTTTTAACATTATTCCAGTTATATCATGGCGTGTCAGCTTAATGTGACAGGAAAGCCCGAAGTGATGCAGGTCTCAGACGTTTACCACTTCGATGAAACCCATGAACACGGGTATGGTCCTGACAAACCTGACATAATCTGTGCAAACCTGGATTCGAACCCACAATCATAGGTTTCTGGCGTGCAACTCTGCACAACGAATCGCGGCGCCTCAGACGACTAGGCCACCCGTGACCTCTGTTGGTGAGCGAGTGAATTGGTGGATGAGGTTAGCAGGAAAACCAATGAATGAGCTGTTGGTGAGCGATTGTATGGGTACATACATGGGTATGGGTGAATGAATGAGCTGTTGGTGGATGACTGGATAGGTGGCAGGATGGGTAGGTGTTCGGCTATAGATAGCTAGGTGAGCTGGATGAATGGGTAATGATAGATGCAAGGGGGTGAGGAAGGATAGAAAGGAATATAATAGATGGTGGGTAATGAGAACATATGGGAAATGGATATATGGAAGGATCGATGGATGATGTGGAAATGGACAGATGAAAGAGTATGAAGATGGATGGATCGGAAATGGATAGATGAAAGGACACGGGGATGGATGGGAAATGTATTGATGAAAGAGCATGGGGATGGATGGATGGGAAATGGATGGATGAAAGAGCATGGGGATGGATGGATGGGAAATGGATAGATGAAAGAACATGAGGATGGATGGATGGGAAATGGATAGATGAAAGGGCAGAAGGGCAAAATGATCGATGGATAGATTGACGGGTGGTGGTTTGATTGATAAATGGATTATTAGAGTGAGTGTCTCACAGCTAGGCCATTAGAGGTGCGCGATATTACCGATATACCGGTATACCACGATATGAAATACCAATGAATACGCACCACAATACGTTTGGAAAATACCTGGAAAATGCGTTTTTCAAAATCATGCATATAATCTTGGTGGAAGATTTTACACTAGTGACAACACAAAATGGAAATGAAGAAATCAGCAACTATTTCCAGTGGCAAAAAAGTGAAACTATTTGTGAGAGTTTCCTGTTTATAATACTTGTAACCACTGCAACATCCCACATAATACGAAGTTGTCAAAAACATGTGGGGGAAGGCATGCAATATCTTGGAATACATATAGCAATAAATGAATCATTATTACAATAAATTGCAATACAAACTTCAGGCTAATACCTATCACCATTGGTCATGACACGAATTTGGCTCTTGTGTTACACAACCTCAGAAGTCATGGGGAATCAAGTAGTTCTGGTTTCCATGGGAACAACATTACAGATCAGGACTGACCCTGCCCAGCTCTGACTTCTCGTCGCCAACCAGACGATGTTCTTCCGCTGACCGAGGGTCTTCATCCATGTCTTCGTCCTCCATGTCCTCGTCCTCGCTATCCTCATCCTCGCTGTCCTTCCTTTCCCTGAGACGCCCAGTATCGCTCACCTCCCTGACTGACAAGTGCTGGAGACTCTTCAACTCTACGGCTGATGCCTGTCTGTCGGTCTGCTTGTCCTTGTGTTGGTCTGGGTGCAGTGTGGTTCTGATGACAGCCTGATTCAGACTTCTAAAAAAATGGAAGGGTAGGGTTTAACACGTGCCCATGATTAGTAGAATGCTAAATGGCGAATGAGGAATAAAGACCACCACAGACCACCACCGACCACTGAAACCACTCCGAACAAATACAGTGAGTGAGTGAGTTGGGTTTAACGCCGCTTTTAACAGTGTTCCAGTTATATCAAGGCGTTTCAAACAAATACAGACCACCACAGACCATCACCGACCCCTGAAACCAACACAGACCACCATCGACCACTGAAACTACTCCAAACCAATACAGACCATCACAGACCACTGAAACCACTCCAAATCACCACAGACCACCACAGACCATAACCGACCACTGAAACCACTCCAAACCACCACAGACCACCACAGACCAATGAAACCACTCCTAACCAATACAGACCATCACAGACCACCACCGACCACTGAAACCATTCCAAAGCAATACAGACTACCACAGACCATCACCGACCACTGAAACCACTCCAAACCAATACAGACCACCACAGACCACCACCGACCACTGAAACCACTCCTAACAAATACAGTGAGTGAGTGAGTTGGGTTTAACGCCGCTTTTCACAGTGTTCCAGTTATATCAAGGCGTTTCAAACAAATACAGACCACCACAGACCATCACCGACCACTGAAACCAACACAGACCACCATCGCCCACTGAAACCACTCCAAACCAATACAGACCATCACAGACCACTGAAACCACTCCAAACCACCACAGACCACCACAGACCATAACCAACCACTGAAACCACTCCAAACCACCACAGACCACCACAGACCAATGAAACCACTCCTAACCAATACTGACCATCACAGACCACCACCGACCACTGACACCACTCCAAAGCAATACAGACTACCACCGACCATTAAAACCACTCCAAGCCAATGCAAACCACCACAGACCACCACAGTCCATTGAAACCCCTCCAAATCAATACAGACCACCACAGACCACCACAGACCACCACCGACCACCACCGACCACTGAAACCACTCCACACCACCACAGATCACTGCAAAACACTAGCCAACATTGCATTAATGTTTATTTCAATAATCCTTTGTGTGGAATGTGATGTCGGTTCTACATATGAATTATTATTCCAACTAAATATATTATTTCTACACCCACCCAATGACCAACACATCACTAACAGGCAACAGAGCAAGAAACGTATGAACAACCTTAATTGAGGTCGGAAAAACAGCAGAAACTGTCCCAAGCGTTCTGAGACTTGACGTGTGGGCTTTCTGCAGTGATTAACACGAGATGTAAAAGCAAAACAATTTCCATTACACTTCACGATGAGGAAGAGAGAACAAAAAGAATTTGTTGAGGGTGAAAAGATTATAGTTAACCCATCAAAATTGAAACGAGAATGAAACTGAGGAACATTGATGATTGCTAATGTAGTGATATGCTTTTGAAGATGATCATATTTCGTATGATCATCATGAGAGAGACATGAAAACAGGTGAGGTGGTGAGGTGAAATGGTGATTAACGTCGCGTCCAAGATTATTGCACTTATATAGCGATTTGCATGTACGTGTGTGTGTTTGTGTGGCTGCTTGTACTAGTCCGGACTGATGCCGATTTATAGTGCCAGCTCACTGAGATACCATGCCGCAGTTTAACATGAATATCCCACTCAGACACAGTATACTGACTCCGAGCCGACCAGTCCTTGTTTTAGCCCCTTAATGCCGAGCGCCAGACAGTACCATCTTTTAACGTCTTTTGGTATGACGCGGCCAGGGATCGAACCCCGGACCTTCCGCTCTCCGGGCGGACGCTCTATTACTAGACCACGGAGGCGGTCTATGAAAACAGAAAATGATGATATTCATCATGATGTTAGTTGTGTACTAACTCTCATAAAAGCAAAGATTACAATGTGTGAGTGAGTGAGTTCGGTTTTATGCTGTTATTAATGAATGACAACAACAATTAGGATTCTGGGGCAGATATCACCTACCTGGGTGATTCAGAGAGGCTGTTGCTATCTGACTTGATTGAACCAGTTGTCTGTGATAGTCCAGGCTTGCAGCTGACAGGGGATGTACTCGGGGGAGGTAACTGTGGTATGGAAACCACTGATTCAACTCTCTGCAGCATGCCTGCCTTTATGTGGTCCACTGTATTGAATGGAGTGAAACTGTTATAAAGGCATGCACATACCAGTATGAGCAATATCTCAAACATACACTCAACAAAGAATGAAACAGATATACTGGTCCATCTGTCGCATATGCTGAACCACAAGGCAAATAGGCCTAAGCTTGTAAACAAGACACAAGACAAGTATGCTCATAAACTGTCAAATAATGGTGGACCATTTAACAATTATGCTAGCTCACTTAAAAATTGCACTTGTCCACTGACATATTACTTTGTATTCCTTATTTCTTTTTATATATATGCAAGGTTGACACAATCTATACTTACATTCTTTATCCTGTTCCCTGTCTTCAAGAACTGCGACACAACCAAGACTTACTTTCCTAATCCTGTTCCCCGTCTTCAGGAACTACGACACAACCAAGACTTACATTCCTAATCCTGTTCCCCGTCTTCAGGAACTACGACACAATCAAGACTTACATTCCTAATCCTGTTCCCCGTCTTCAGGAACTACGACACAACCAAGACTTACATTCCTATTCCTGTTCCCCGTCTTTAGGAACTACGACACAACCAAGACTTACATTCCTAATCCTGTTCCCCGTCTTCAGGAACTACGACACAACCAAGACTTACATTCCTATTCCTGTTCCCCGTCTTTAGGAACTACGACACAATCAAGACTTACATTCCTAATCCTGTTCCCCGTCTTCAGGAACTACGACACAACCAAGACTTACATTCCTTATTCTGTTCCCCGTCTTTAGGAACTACGACACAATCAAGACTTATATTCCTTATCCTGTTCCCCGTCTTCAGGAACTACGACACAACCAAGATTTACATTCCTTATCCTTTTCCCTGTCTTCAGGAACTACGACACAATCAAGACGTACATTCATTATTCTGTTCCCCATCTTCAGGAACTACGACACAATCAAGACTTACATTCCTCATCCTGTTGCCCGTTTTTCTCCGTCTCCTGTAACAGGTACGTCTTCAGGAACTGTGCAAAGGGGCCATCATGACTCAGCAGCTCTTCATACGATCCCACTTCAGTTATCTCCCCTTTATCCATGACCAGTATAACATCCACCATAGGCAGCCACTGCACGCCATGAGTCACAAGTATTCGAGTCTGTAACATGAACATGAAACATATCTGGAGGATGTTGAAAGTATTTGTTTCTTAGGAATCGACATCCGTGTGTTGTAAACAAAATACCACAAGTATCAGTACAACAAACCAGCATATATATGTCATATATAGATGGACAATGGCAGGCATAAACCAACACAATTAAAAGGCATGACAGGTTATTCCACACATTGAAAAAGGCTTCCATTAATAATGCATTCCCTGGTGTCCTATAACATGACTGAAGATGTGTTTGTCCTATGATACACGATCTGCCCCCTCCCCTTGTCCTTCAGCATTCCCTAGTGTCCTATAACATGACTGAAGATGTGTTTATCCTATGATACACGATCTGCCCCCTCCCCTTGTCCTTCAGCATTCCCTGGTGTCCTATAACATGGCTGAAGATGTGTTTGTCCTATGATACACGATCTGCCCCCTCACCTTGTCCTTCAGCATTCCCTGGTGTCCTATAACATGACTGAAGATGTGTTTGTCCTATGATACACGATCTGCCCCCTCACCTTGTCCTTCAGCATTCCCCGATGTCCTATAACATGACTGAAGATGTGTTTGTCCTATGATACACGATCTGCCCCCTCACCTTGTCCTTCAACATTCCCTGGTGCCCTATAACATGACTGAAGGTGTGTTTGTCCTATGATACACGATCTGCCCCCTCACCTTGTCCTTCAACATTCCCTGGTGTCCTATAACATGACTGAAGATGTGTTTGTCCCATGATACACGATCTGCCCCCTCACCTTGTCCTTCAGCATTCCCTGGTGTCCTATAACATGACTGAAGATGTGTTTGTCCTATGATACACGATCTGCCCCCTCACCTTGTCCTTCAGCATTCCCCGATGTCCTATAACATGGCTGAAGATGTGTTTGTCCTATGATACACGATGTGCCCCCTCACCTTGTCCTTCAACATTCCCTGGTGTCCTATAACATGACTGAAGATGTGTTTGTCCTATGATACACGATCTGCCCCCTCACCTTGTCCTTCAGCATTCCCCGACGTCCTATAACATGGCTGAAGATGTGTTTGTCCTATGATACACGATCTGCCCCCTCACCTTGTCCTTCAACATTCCCTGGTGTCCTATAACATGACTGAAGATGTGTTTGTCCTATGATACACGATCTGCCCCCTCACCTTGTCCTTCAGCATTCCCTGGTGTCCTATAACATGACTGAAGATGTGTTTGCCAACATGGGAGTCGACAGCACTGAGAGGGTCATCCATCAAATATATGTCCTTGTCACTGTACACAGCTCGGGCAAGAGACACTCTCTGCTTCTGTCCTCCACTCAGGTTGATGCCCTGGAACCACGAGCATCATCAAATTGTTGTAAACCATTGCCAACGGAATCTCACAAATTATAAGAGGGCAAGAGTGGCGCTACAATTCTCTGATTGTGGGTTGGAATCCAAGGTTTGCGCTGATTGTGTTTCTATGTTTGTCATCCCCTCTGCCCATGCTTGTATGTTTCAGAAGTAGTATACACTTACGAGGTGAGGTGAGGTGAAATGAGGTTTAACGTCGCGTCCAAGATTATTGCACTTATATAGCAACGGGCAAGCACGTGTATGTGTGTGGCTGCTTGTACTAGTCCAGACTGATGCCGATTTATAGTGCTAGCTCACTGAGATACCATGCCGCAGTTTAACATGAATACCCCACTCAGACACAGTATACTGACTCCGAGCCGACCAGTCCTTGTTTTAGCCCCTTAATGCCGAGCGCCAGACAGGGTAACAACAAGTACCATCTTTTAACGTCTTTTAGTATGACGCAGCTGGGGATCGAACCCCGGACCTTCCGCTCTCCGGGCGGACACTCTACCGTTAGACCACGGAGGCGATCTATACACTTACGACCAGAACCACTTCGAGGTCACTCACTGTGATATAACTACAATTACAATACTGTTCAAAATGCCATTAAATATAACCGACAAACCCTTTCCATATTCACAAGACACTCACCCACTAGCAAATCATAATCTCACCTTTCGGAAACAATAGGTCAAGAAGTTGGTTGGTTGGTTGGTTAAATTGTTGTTTAACGCCGCACTCAGCATTATTCCAGCTATATGACGGCGGTCTGTAAATAATCGAGTCTGGATCTGACAATCCAGTGATTAATGTCATGACCATCGATCCACGCATTGTGATCGATGACATGCATTAACCAAGTCAGCGAGCCTGACCACCCGATCCCGTTAGTCGCCTCTTACGACAAGCATAGTCACCTTTTACGGCAAGCATGGGTTGCTGAAGACCTATTCTATCCCGGAATCTTCACGGGTCAGGTCAAAATGGTAACCATTTCAAACAAGATGGCAACCCTTGCTAAATGTATTACAGTAAAGTGCATCAGCTTGGTCAGGTGTTTTTGTAAGCACTTTACCCCTGCTTGATGCTATCACCAAAGTGGTGCATTTCTATGATCTGAAACACTTTCTGATCACTTCCACAAACATCCGACACACAGTAATACTAACTGACAGAAGACCTGGGAAGATCCGGGTAGAAAATAGGTCTCCAGCAACCCATTCCTGTCGTAAGAGGCAACTATGCTTGTCATAAGAAGCGACTAGCAGGCTCGGGCGGTTAGGCTCGCTGACTTTGTATGTCATTGTATCCCAAAAGCGTAGATTGATGCTAATGATGTCAATCACTTTATTTTCTGGTCCAGACCCTATTATTTACAGACCGTCGTCACATAGCGTGAGTATTGCCGAGTGCGGTGTTAAACAACAAACAAACAAACAAACAAACAAATAGCTGACAGAATGTTCAAAGTGACGCTTTAAGAAACTCACTGACTCATCCATTTAAATAATCTCCTCTGCCAACTGAACCCACCTTCTCCCCGATTTCGGTGTCATCACCACCAGGTAGGAGGTCAAGGTCAGGTTCAAGGGCACATGCTCCTATCACATTCTGATACTGTTTATCCTTACACCGACGCCCAAACAGCAGGTTCCTCCGTAGTGTCATATGCTGTATCCAGGCTTGTTGAGGAACGTAGGCGACAGAACCCTGCACAGAGCCACATTCTTTTCAGATGAGAAGATGGCTATGTTTTTACAATAAGTTCCATAAAATGAAATAGACAAACTTGTCTCCACTTGTACAAAACAACCAACACTTCCATACCATAAACAACACATATATACCCCCTCCCCCCACCCCCTAGTTTACACTCACCTATTACCATAAAATAAGCCGAATTTTGAGGATCAGAAAAAAGATTCTGTAGAAAGGGGTCGGCTCAAGAAAAGGTTACACTTTCATCAAACTGCATCGTATCATCCGGTGAATGAACAACACTATAACAAACTTTGTCAATGAAAATGTAAAATTTGCGATTAAACATCACTAGACATGATGATTTACCATTTCGACTGTGTTTCTTGTTTTGCTAAGCATTGTTTTATATTCAGGGATTAGGATTATCGTGTGTATTGTCTGGAAGTAGCCATCAGCTGAACACACGTTTTCTGCCAATCTACCGATGATCACGTTAAAATACACACAATAATACGACGGAAAATAATTTTGATGCAATGGTCAGAAAACATAGTATCTTAATCTTCTATTTCACTACGAATAATATATTCTGATATCATGTTATTTTAATTGTAGGCTTTACTATATATCTTCATACTCATGATAATCATAACCAGGGTAATACGGTGGCACTTTTGTGTATTACCGGATATTTTCTTTTCGTATAGGCTTCTGCTTACAAAGTACCTCACATAGACTGGTGGGTGGGTGGATGAGACCTAGTTGCAGCCTCAACCTACCCTTGTTCACTCACTGACCAATCATCATCAGTGAGTGAGTGAGTGAGTGAGTGAGTGAGTGAGTGAGTGAGTGAGTGAGTGAGGGAGTGAGTGTGGTATAAAACCGGTACTGCTTAATCTATCAATACCGCGGTTGGATATGCTGAAGATAGGGTTCACACACTGTACCCATGTTGAGAATATAACGAGGGCCTTTGACGTGACGGCCAATGGGACTACCACCAGGCTACACAGCCGCCACTGCCACCAGGTGTCTGACTGTCCCTACCTTCATCTGCACAGAGCCTGACAGCTTCTCCATCTCCCCAAGCAGGGCCGACAGCAGGGACGACTTCCCGGCACCCACCGACCCCACCACCGCCACCAGCTGCCCTCTCCTCACTTCAACATTGACACTAGAACAAACAGAGTCAGGGTCTTGTAGTTCACGTTCGCGTAAATAAAATATAGCTAGAGTCTTGTATTTCCCTGCACTTCAACATTGACACTAAAATATAGCCAGAGTCTTGTACTTCCCCTGCACTTCAACATTGACACTAAAATATAGTCAGAGTCTTGTACGTCCCTACACTTCAACATTGATACTAAAATATGGCTAGAGTCTTGTACTTCCCCTGCACTTCAACATTGACACTAAAATATAGCCAGAGTCTTCTACTTCCCCTGCACTTCAACATTGACACTAAAATATAGCCAGAGTCTTCTACTTCCCCTGGACTTCAACATTGACACTAAAATATAGCCAGAGTCTTGTACTTCCCCTGCACTTCAACATTGACACTAAAATATAGCCAGAGTCCTGTACTTCCCCTGCACTTCAACATTGACACTAAAATATAGCTAGAGTCTTGTGGCGTGACACTGTATGGGTCAAGGTCCTCTCCGGTCAGATAATTGGACAGTCGCTTGATGGACATTACCTGCTTCTGTGTCCGGCGTGACACTGTGTGGGGCAAGGTCTTCTCCGGTCAGGTAATTGGACAGTCGCTTGATGGACATTACCTGCTTCTGTGTCTGGCGTGACACTGTGGGTCAAAGCCCTCTCCGGTCAGGTAGTTGGACAGTCGCTTGATGGACATTACCTGCTTCTGTGTCTGGCGTGACACTGTGGGTCAAGGTCCTCTCCGGTCAGGTCGTTGGACAGTCGCTTGATGGACATTACCTGCTTCTGTGTCTGGCGTGACACTGTTGGTCAAGGTCCTCTCCGGTCAGGTCGTTGGACAGTCGCTTGATGGACATTACCTGCGTCTGTGTCTGGCGTGACACTGTGTGGGTCAAGGTCCTCTCCGGTCAGGTCGTTGGACAGTCGCTTGATGGACATTACCTGCTTCTGTGTCCGGCGTGACACTGTGTGGGGCAAGGTCTTCTCCGGTCAGGTAATTGGACAGTCGCTTGATGGACATTACCTACTTCTGTGTCCGGCATGACACTGTGGGTCAAGGTCCTCACCGGTCAGGTCGTTGGACAGTCGATTGATGGACATTACCTGCTTCTGTGTCCGGCATGACACTGTGGGTCAAGGTCCTCACCGGTCAGGTCGTTGGACAGTCGCTTGATGGACATTACCTGCTTCTGTGTCTGGCGTGACACTGTGTTGGTCAAGGTCCACACCGGTCAGATAGTTGGGCAGTCGCTTGATGAGCATTACCTGCTTCTGTGTCTGGCGTGACACTGTGTGGGGCAAGGTCTTCTCCGGTCAGGTAATTGGACAGTCGCTTGATGGACATTACCTGCTTCTGTGTCCGGCGTGACACTGTGTGGGTCAAGGTCCTCTCCGGTCAGGTACTAAGACAGCGCTTGATTGACATTACCTGCTTCTGTGTCCGGCGTGACACTGTGTTGGTCAAGGTCCTATCTGTCCAGGTAATAAGACAGCGCTTGATGGACATTACCTGCTTCTGTCTCTGGCGTGACACTGTGTGGGTCAAGGCCCTCTCCGGTCAGGTAATAAGACAGCGCTTGATGGACATTACCTGCTTCTGTGTCTGGCGTGACACTGTGTAGGTCAAGGTCCTCTCCGGTCAGGTAATAAGACAGCGCTTGATGGACATTACCTGCTTCTGTGTCCGGCGTGACACTGTGTAGGTCAAGGTCCTCTCCGGTCAGGTAATAAGACAGCGCTTGATGGACATTACCTGCTTCTGTGTCTGGCGTGACACTGTGGGTCAAGGTCCTCACCGGTCAGGTAGTTAGACAGCGCTTGATGGACATTACCTGCTTCTGTGTCCGGCGTGACACTGTGTGGGTCAAGGTCCTCACCGGTCAGATAGTTGGACAGTCGCTTGATGGACACGAAGGCCTAGAAAACAACACAGTACATGAACCATAGTTCACTCTTCACCACATATACCAGGTACTTGAAGCAAACGCACTTTTCAAGGCGTTCATGAGAGATCATGGAAAGGCTTTCAAACCTGAGCCCTGAACCATGTCAATGGGTTTTCTGGTGCCTTACACCAGCATAGATACAGAGTTCGGCAGAGAGTTCATGGGTTGTCTGGTGCCTTTCCTGGACCAGCATAGATACACAGGTAGGCAGGGAGTTCATGGGTTGTCTAATGAGTTACCTGGACCAGCATAGATACACAGTTCGGCAGAGAGTTCATGGGTTGTCTGATGAGGGTGAAGAGACTGAGTGACACGAAAGCAGTCTCGGAATCCAGATAGTGGTTGTCAGACAACATCACGTAGATCACGAAACTCGTCAAGGTCACCTGAGGGTCAAATAAGTCTTCAATATTAAGACACAGCAGGCTTCCCAAAGGTAAAACATTCCATGTTGTTTTACAGTACGTTTAGTCAAATTAACACGAGATTCACTGGGTCAAAAGATCAATAGGTAATACATGACATAAACGTCATTATCACAGCATGCATCTGCGGGGTCACAAAATATATCATGTCTTAGATCTAGAGACGTTGCGTTAACTACACAGAAGGATCATGTAATATTCCAGATTCAAAACAATGGGTTTTGGTACACAATCCGTAGGACGTGGAGTCATCCCACAGGTGACATGCTTACCTTGTCAGATTGCTTACGGGGCTTAATAGCCTCTTTGCTCATGTGGACAAGAAGGAAATATCAGAAGACACAGTAAATTACGTTTATAACAAACACGCTTAAAAGAACTGACGGAGATAAAGAAATGTGTTTTTATCCCGTCCATTTGCTGTATATTTGCTGTATGTATACTGTATATATGCTTATAACGAACTACGGTTATAACGATCAAAGGTTAGTTGTCCCTTCGAGTTCGTTATAACCGTAATTTGCTGTATATGATTCGAATCCCATCGTGCCCGATACACTGGCAACAGACGTGGGGCTTGAAATTTCACATCTTATCAAAACTTCAGTTTAATATTTAGTGTAGCTCGCAATTATTTCACGTTAAACAATATTTAGCTTAAACAGTTCCACAGTTCTATTTCAAAATCAACATTTCATTTGATTGTTGCTCGTAATTACACTGGTTCGTCTCTTCCAGACTGCCAGGTTGCCATAACATAGCTTGAATATTGTTTAGTGCACCATAAAGTTAAACATTAAACGAGGAAAAAACATAAAGCACCATTTGATCTTCCATAGGAATGAATACCTAACCGAACAATATTTAATACACTTAACCCAATTAAAAATAATGAGGTCAGAATATTTTTTTAAAAATATGATTATTTTCTCTTTAATAATTGTCACCCGTATATATCTACAAGTATTACTTTTGTAACATACCTGACCTATCGATATCACACATATATCCTGACACAACCTATAACATTTGAATATAAAAAACCTCCAAGTCGATCATCTCTTTCACGACAGCATGTTATTTTTCATACTATCCATGAACAATTTGGTTGTTGAGGAGATTTGCTTCAGCATTTTAGGTAACATTTCTTGTTGACAATGTCCCTCGAGAGACTCCTAGGTTGTCTCCTCATTGAGACGTTGCCTGACTGAAGCTGACTGACCAGGGACGGTCGGGTAGCCTAGTGGTTAAAGCGTTCGCTCATCATGTCACACGGGTTCGATTCCCGACATGGGTACAATGTGTGAAGCCTATTTCTGGTGTCCCCGCCGTGATATTGCTGGAATATTGCTTAATGCGGCGTAAAACCATACTCACTCACTGACAGGGTCACTGACAGACTGACCAGAGTTGGAGCCCCCGTGAAACAGAAGGTGTTGACAGAGTTCAAGATAGCCAGCTTCTGCAGGATTCGGATCTCCGTGTTGCGAATGGCGGTGATCTTTTCACGGAACGAGGCCTCCCAGGCGTATAGCTTTAACACCTGCAGTCAGTCAGTGAGACATCATTTTAAAAAAATAGGTTTTATTTGAATCAAGTTGGGAACAAGTGATACTTGTACAAACAAATATTCAAACTATGTACCCTCAGCCTACCTTTTTACCTACTTTTATTTCTACCTCTGTATAAGCAAACCATTACACCTACATGTACCTTTATACAGCCAGAGGTTCCAAGCATTGTAAAAAAAAGCGAGTACAAACTCAAACTATGTACCCTCAGCCTACCTTTATACCTACTTTTATTTCTACCTCTATACAGGCATACCATTACACCTACCTCTATACAGCCAGTATACCATTACACCTACCACTATACAAGCAAACCATTACACCTACCTCTATACAGCCAGTATACCATTACACCTACTCTATACAAGCATACCATTACACCTACCTCTATACAGCCAGTATACCATTACACATACCTCTATACAAGCATACCATTACACCTACCTCTATACAGCCAGTATACCATTACACCTACCTCTATACAAGCATACCATTACACCTACCTCTATACAGCCAGCATAACATTACATCTACTCAACACAAGCATACCATTACACCTACCTCTACACAAGCATACCATTACACCTACCTCTACACAAGCATACCATTACACCAACCTCATGCCGATGCGAGGTTAAATTTTAACTCACTCACCCCATACAAGCATACCATTACACCTTCCTCTGTACAGGCAGTGTACCATTACACCTACATCTATACCGCCAATATACCGGTATACCATACCAGGTACGATATATTCATAACAGCCTACCTTTATCCCGGTTAGAACTTCATTCATGAACTTCAGCCTCTGATCCTTGACAGTTAGGCGTTTATTGTGGAACTTCCTCAGGTAAGTCGATATCTTGAAATTGATTGGCGCCAGGACTAGCATGACGGTGATGCCGGCAAAGATTGCGACCCCGATTGTCTGATACAGGAAGTAGAGGCCAACGCTGAGCATGAGTGGTGCCGACCACAGCACCCACAGGCTGCTGGTGACTTCTTGAACACGTGCACAGTCCACGGACATCATGTTGACGATGGCGCCGGTCGTGTACTGTCGCCTGGATTCATTGTTCATAGTCAGGGCCTGGGAGACCAGAGGAACCAAACCGAAATCATAAGAATTACTGTGTTTATGTTCAATGGAGAATTAATCTTCATAAAGTCAGGGCTAAGCTGTTTTAACATCCAAACTTGCTATATAATGTCATTTAAAACATATTTAACGCGTTTTCATTTTCTTAACAATAAAAATGAAAATGAAACTATCCATTCCTACCAGGTACACCCATTCACTGCTTGTCCAACATTTTCACATTTCAGCTATTGAGTAATAAACCCAGACAGCTTAAAAAAAAGAGAGTCAGGTTCAATTACACACTAACCGCTTGACTGCCTGGCTGATCAAAATGTAACTGAAAAATAGTTCTGTTTCAGCTTATATAGGGAGACATTTTACCTTCCTATACGACCTCTAAAGATCCGGGTTAGACAAGGTCTTCAGCACTCCAATCTTGCCGGAGGAGCGACTATCCTTGTCGAAAGCGGCGATAAACGCGATCAGGTGGTCAGGCTCACTGACTTGGTTGATGTGTATCATTTTATCCCAATTGCTTGGATCGACGCTCATGATATCAATAATTGGATTGCCTTGTTCAGATTTTGTACAGATCGCCTTTATATAACCAACCAACAAACAAACAAACCTTCTTATACACAGCAGTGACAAGGGCAGTCTTGATCTTCAGGCCGATGTTGAAGGAGAGGAAGACACACTGAGACAGGACAATGGACTGGAACATGGACACAAGGAAGAAGGATGCGACGATCACATACCCCTTCCAGTCCGTCTTGCTCCCATGGTGCTCCACATACCAGATCAGCTTCCTGAAGGGAGGGAGAACACATGGTTACATATATGTCTCTTTGTCATCTTCTTCATGCTAATAACTTGCTTCAATTATACTTTTCCAAAATAATTTTCCTACAGACGATTTCTTCTTGGTGTTGCTCCTTCTGTATCCGTATTAATTCAATACTAGAATAAATTCTACGGGCATTGTACTTACTTGAACAACACTGGGCTGGAAGAGTTCTATATCTGACACACTTACTTGAACAACACTGGGCTGGAAGAGTTCTATATCTGACACACTTACTTGAACAACACTGGGATTTGAGTCATATCTCTCACATTTACTTGAGCAACACTGGGCTGGGTGAGTCATGTCTCTGACACATTTACTTGAACAACACTGGGCTTGGAGAGCCATGTCTCTGACATACTTACTTGAACAACACTGGGCTGAGAGAGTCATATCCCTGAGACACTTACTTGAACAACACTGGGTTGGGAGCGCCATATCTCTGACACACTTACTTGATCAACACTGGGCTGGAAGAGTTCTATATCTGACACACTTACTTGAGCAACACTGGGCTGGGTGAGTCTTATCTCTGACACACTTACTTGAACATCCCTGGGCTGGAAGAGTTCTATATCTAACACACTTACTTGAGCAACAATGGGCTGGGTGAGTCATATCTCTGACACATTTACTTGAGCAACACTGGGCTCGGTGAGTCATATCTCTGACACATTTACGTGAGCAACACTGGGCTGGGTCAGTCATATCTCTGTCACACTTACTTGAACAACACTGGGCTGGAAGAGTTCTATATCTGACACACTTACTTGAGCAACACTGGGATTTGAGTCATATCTCTGACACATTTACTTGAGCAACACTGGGCTGGGTGAGTCATGTCTCTGACACATTTACTTGAACAACACTGGGCTTGGAGAGCCATGTCTCTGACATACTTACTTGAGCAACACTGGGCTGGGACAGTCATGCCTCTGACATACTTACTTGAACAACACTGGGCTGGGACAGTCATGTCTCTGACACATTTACTTGAACAAAACTGGGCTGGGACAGTCATGTCTCTGACACACTTACTTGAACAACACTGGGTTGGGAGAGTCATATCGCTGACACACTCACTTGAACAACACTGGAGTGGGACAGTCATGTCTCTGACACACTTACTTGAACAACACCGGGTTGGGAGAGTCATATCGCTGACACACTTACTTGAACAACACTGGGCTGGAAGAGTTCTATATCTGACACACTTACTTGAACAACACTGGGCTGGAAGAGTTCTATATCTGACACACTTACTTGAGCAACACTGGGATTTGAGTCATATCTCTGACACATTTACTTGAGCAACACTGGGCTGGGTGAGTCATGTCTCTGACACATTTACTTGAACAACACTGGGCTTGGAGAGCCATGTCTCTGACATACTTACTTGAGCAACACTGGGCTGGGACAGTCATGCCTCTGACATACTTACTTGAACAACACTGGGCTGGGACAGTCATGTCTCTGACACACTTACTTGAACAAAACTGGGCTGGGACAGTCATGTCTCTGACACACTTACTTGAACAACACTGGGTTGGGAGAGTCATATCTCTGACACACTTACTTGAACAACACTGGAGTGGGACAGTCATGTCTCTGACACACTTACTTGAACAACACCGGGTTGGGAGAGTCATATCTGACACACTTACTTGAACAACACTGGAGTGGGACAGTCATGTCTCTGACACACTTACTTGAACAACACCGGGTTGGGAGAGTCATATCGCTGACACACTTACTTGAACAACACTGGGCTTGAAGAGTTCTATATCTGACACACTTACTTGAACAACACTGGGCTCGGTGAGTCATATCTCTGACACACTTACTTGAGCAACAGCGGGAAAAGGAACTGGACTAGATCAGCACAGAATCTCAGCAGATGAGCCACCAGCAGTTCACTACCGTACATCCTGAATAAAACTTTGACCAACGTCCACTTCTTGGCTTGACCTGTCCAGGAGGACGTCTTCTTGTTCCTGATCTTCACACCAGGGTGTGTGTCGAGCTCAGTGTCAGTGATAGCAGTTCTTACTCCCATTTCCAGGAAACCCTCCTTCTCTGCTGTGTCTGCAGCTTCAGTCTTCTTGTTCCGGATCTTCACACCAGGGTATGTGTCGAGCTCAGTGTCACTGGTCGCCCTCTTCACTTCTAGTTCCAGGAGACACTCCTTCTCTGCTGTGTCTGCAGCTTCAGTCTTCTTGTTCCGGATCTTCACACCAGGGTATGTGTCGAGCTCAGTGTCACTGGTCGCCCTCTTCACTTCTAGTTCCAGGAGACCCTCCTTCTCTGCTGTCTCTGCGGCTTCAGTCGTCTCCTTTGATGTGATAGCTTCTTTGCGGTCAATTTTGTTTCTAAAATAATGTAGCGTTATTAGCAATAAACGGTCTTTAATTTGTTTTTAAAATAAAATTGCCATTGCATTATGGGTAAGTGTGGCGGACCATGCCGTCTTCCTTTGCAGTAAAAATAAAAACCACTTTTGCCGATGTATATGATAGAAAAAAGTAGTTTGGCAGATTAAACGTTACACAAACAAGAAGAGCAGTGTGTTATATGTGTACGTTATAAATTATGTTTTGACCTGATGAAAAAAATACCTCTACCATCGCACATTTATAATAAAACCAGGCCAGCTTGATTCTTTAAGCTATTTTTTTATGACTCGATCTTGGTCATAAATGAATTCAAAGACTGGTACCAAGTGCTTTAAACTTTAAAATGCCATAAATGAAGTTACACAATCAGTGAAAAACATGTTTGTTATGTTTTCGCCTGCCTGCACTCGTGCTGGTTGAGGTTGGAGATGATAAACACATAATAACAAAAAAAGGATTCCCTTACTGTGAACATACTGCATAATTTGCTGGCAAGAATTTTGTAATGATTTGCTATAGATTAAAGCGAGGTGAAATGGTACTTACCGTTGTGGCTAGTCTTATGACTGTATCATACCTTGCTGACACCAATTTCATGCAACATTTGTCATAATATGTTTCTATAATCATGGTGTGGGAGAAAAGCTTCTTTGACATTTCAGATTTTTCTTTGTTTACAAAATGTATCTCAGTATTAATTTATAAATTGGTCTCTTGCAATTTAACCTTGTGTAAGCTCATGTTTGTGTTGTTAACACCTACATGTGTATGGTTTCAGAGGTTTCACTAAATGTTTAACATTTCACACAGCAAAAAACTGCCACCACATGTGATAATTATTACATAACAACACACCTTTATGTCATCTCTAACAACCAATATACCTTTAAACCTACCTCTATATAACCAGCATTCATTAACACCTACCTCTATACAACTAGTATACCATTACACCGACCTCTATATAACCAGCATACATTAACACCTACCTCTATATAACCAGCATACATTAACACCTACCTCTATACAACTAGTATACCATTACACCGACCTCTATATAACCAGCATACATTAACACCTACCTCTATATAACCAGCATACATTAACACCTACCTCTATACAACTAGTATACCATTACACCCACTCTATATAACCAGCATACATGAACACCTACCTCTATACAACTAGTATACCATTACACCCACTCTATATAACCAGCATACATGAACACCTACCTCTATACAACTAGTATACCATTACACCTACCTCTATATAACCAGCATACATTAACACCTACCTCTATATAACCAGCATACATTAACACCTACCTCTATACAACTAGTATACCATTACACCGGCCTCTATATAACCAGCATACATTAACACCTACCTCTATACAACTAGTATACCATTACACCTACCTCTATATAACCAGCATACATTAACACCTACCTCTATACAACGAGTATACCATTACACCTACCTCTATATAACCAGCATGCATTAACACCGGCCTCTATATAACCAGCATACATTAACACCTACCTCTATACAACTAGAATACCATTACACCTACCTCTATATAACCAGCATACATTAACACCTACCTCTGTATAACCAGCATACATTAACACCTACCTCTATATAACCAGCATAAATTAACACCTACCTCTATACAACTAGTATACCATTACACCCACTCTATATAACCAGCATACATGAACACCTACCTCTATACAACTAGTATACCATTACACCCACTCTATATAACCAGCATACATGAACACCTACCTCTATACAACTAGTATATCATTACACCTACCTCTATATACCTAGCATTCATTATACCTACTCTACACAATAGTACTGACTATGTTTTAAGTACTGACTTCGAAGTGAGTGCGTTCATCTCCTGCTGCCACTCCGTGTTAAATGGGGGGACTGTGACCTCGCTCTTCAGACTTGAAGGTAGGTCCCATAGATCGCTGGCTGTAATTGGCTGTCTCCAGCCTCTCCATACCAACCTGGGAATAATGGAAACCCTGCACTGAACCTTAAGTTCGGGAGTAGTCGGTTTGGAACAGGACATGAACATAGGGCGTAGTCAGTTAGGAACTGAACCTGAACACTTGGAGGAGTCACCGTGTTCACCTGAACCAGATCATAGGGAGGAGATACTGCGAGAACTGAACCAGAATATAGGGAGGGGTCACATAGGGAACTGAACCAGAATATAGGGAGGGTGACATAGGGAACTGAACCAGAATATAGGGAAGGGTCACATAGGGAACTGAACCAGAATATAGGGAGAGGTGACATAGGGAACTGAACCAGAATATAGGGAGGGGTCACATAGGGAACTGAACCAGAATATAGGGAGGGGTCACATAGGGAACTGAACCAGAATATTGGGAGAGGTGACATAGGGAACTGAACCAGAATATAGGGAGGGGTCACATAGGGAACTGAACCAGAATATAGGGAGGGGTCACATAGGGAACTGAACCAGAATATAGGGAGAGGTGACATAGGGAACTGCACCAGAATATAGGGAGGGGTCACATAGGGAACCGAACCAGAATATAGGGAAGGGTCACATAGGGAACTGAACATAGGAATCTATAGTCACTGTTGAAGAGAACCAGTACATAGGGAGGAGTCACAGTGTTCAACGTAGTCACTGTTGAATTGAACAGAGCATCAGGAGAAGTCACTGTTGACATTGAACCAGAACATGAGAAGGGACATCGAACCAGAATATTAGAAGCCATAGTCACTGTTGAATTGAACAGAACAAAAGGAGAAGTCAATGTGGAAATTGAACCAGAACATGAGAAGCTTTAGTCACTCTTGAATTAAACAGAGCATAAGGAGAAGTCACTGTGGACATTGAACCAGAACATGAGAAGCTATAGTCATTGCTGAATTGAACAGAACATAAGGAGAAGTCACTGCGGAAATAGAACCAGAACATGAGAAGCTATAGTCACTGTTGAATTGAACAGAACATAAGGATAAGTCACTGTGGACATTGAACCAGAACATGAGAAGCTTTAGTCACTTTTGAATTGAACAGAACATAAAGAGAAGTCACTGTTGAAATTGAACCAGAACATGAGAAGCTTTTGTCACTGTTGAATTGAACAGAACATAAGGAGAAGTCACTGTGGAAATTGAACCAGAACATGAGAAGCTTTAGTCACTGTTGAATTGAACATAACATAAGGAGAAGTTGCTGTTGACATTGAACCAGAACATGGGAAGCTTTAGTCACTGTTGAATTGAACAGAACATAAGGAGAAGTTACTGTGGACATTGAACCAGAACATGAGAAGCTATAGTCACTGTGGAAATTGAACCACAACATAAGGAGAAGTCACCGTGGAATTGAACCAGAACATGAGAAGCTATAGTCACTGTTGAATTGAACAGAACATAAGGAGAAGTACTGTGGAAATTGAACCAGAACATGAGAAGCTTTTGTCACTGTTGAACTGAACAGAACATAAGGAGAAGTCACTGTGGAAATTGAACCAGAACATAAGGAGAAGTCACTGTGGAACTGAACCAGAACATGGGAGGAGGGAGTCTTTATAGGGAGAGAGGACACTCGGCGATTTCCGCTGGATTTCAAGCACAATTTCTGCGCATGCATCTGATGAATACCACATGTGTTGCCAAATTTATGCTCTCACCAGATTGTGAATTAACTCAGGGAAGGAGCTTCAAAGAGTCTACTTCGAGACAGAAAAGGTGAATAATACCTTCTTTCTTTTTGTGACATATGAATTTAGTAATTATCGTGAAATTGCTTTCTTTCTATTTGCAATGATTTGTCATCAACTTCGGCCATCTTGAAGCTGTGAGACTTAATAGTTGACCGTTCATTTTGTTCGTGAAAAAAGGTCTTTGTCACACTTCCCTGAATTCCTCATTTGGAATATTTCTGAAATTGAAAGTCATATTATGGTCGTTTAAAGTTGATTTTTTTTCTTAAATACTCCGTTCTCATTTGGTTTCAAAGACATTGCATTGTCTGTTACATGGTGCGCTGGCTTCGCCGGCGATGTCCATACATAGAGAGTTTTGTACTTGCAAAAACAACTTTTCACACTTTCCTGGATCCTTAATTTGGAATATTTCTGAAGTTAAACTGATATAAGGATCGTTTAGAGTATGTTTGTTTTCAACAAAATATTTTGTGTTGCTTTGGTTCGAAACCGATATCAATTACACGTACATTGTTTTTTAAAAGTCTCTTTTATATTGATACCAGTGTTGATTTTTTTGTGTTTCAGAGGATGTGGATAGAACCCGTATTGACATCATGAGCAGGGACGTAACACTATCGGATTAAATTTTGGCTGTTTTCCCTGGTTTCAGGCGCTACCCTGTTGCCGTTTTCGATTATTTACGAGTTACCCCGTAAACCACTGAACGGAGATATTCCCATTTTTCACAGTCACGCACTGAATCTGCCATGGATCATGACCACCGGCCGTCGAGGCACGCACTAATTAACAGATCCATAATGAGGCTTATAAAATAGAACAATTCGTTCACAGGCAATGACTTAAAATATAGTTCGGGCGGGCGGTGTCTTTTTTTGCTTGTTCAAACTAGTATGTAGCCAAATAAACAGTTGTGTACTATCATCTTTGGAAAGGGCCTTCCTACAGAAATGAGCATACAAACTCATATTGCCTCTATAACCATAACGCGAGATACACAGTAAACCAGTGCGCATGTAAAGGGAAGTAACTGCGTGCTATATTGGATCGCATTGTTTGTTTTCCAGTGTAAAGAGTGAGACTGTGAGTTACTCTATCCTGTTATCCAGTGTAAAGAGTGAGACTGTGAGTTACTCTATCCTGTTATCCAGTGTAAAGTGTGAGGCTATGAGCTACTCTACCCTGTTATCCAGTGTAAAGAGTGAGACTGTGAGCTACTCTGTCCTGTTATCCAGTGTAAAGTGTGAGACTGTGAGCTACTCTACCCTGTTTTCCAGTGTAAAGAGTGAGACTGTGAACTACTCTACCCTGTTATCCAGTGTAAAGAGTGAGACTGTGAGCTACTCTGTCCTGTTATCCAGTGTAAAGTGTGAGGCTGTGAGCTACTCTACCCTGTTACCCAGTGTAAAGTGTGAGACTGTGAGCTACTCTACCCTGTTATCCAGTGTAAAGAGTGAGGCCGTGAGCTACTCTACCCTGTTATCCAGTGTAAAGAGTGAGACTGTTAGCTACTCTACCCTGTTTTCCAGTGTAAAGAGTGAGACTGTGAACTACTCTACCCTGTTACCAAGTGTAAAGTGTGAGACTGTGAGCTACTCTACCCTGTTATCCAGTGTAAAGAGTGAGACTGTGAGCTACTCTACCCTGTTTTCCAGTGTAAAGAGTGAGGCTATGAGCTACTCTACCCTGTTATCCAGTGTAAAGTGTGAGGCTGTGAACTACTCTACCCTGTTTTCCAGTGTAAAGAGTGAGACTGTGAACTACTCTACCCTGTTATCCAGTGTAAAGAGTGAGACTGTGAGCTACTCTGTCCTGTTATCCAGTGTAAAGTGTGAGGCTGTGAGCTACTCTACCCTGTTACCCAGTGTAAAGTGTGAGACTGTGAGCTACTCTACCCTGTTATCCAGTGTAAAGAGTGAGGCCGTGAGCTACTCTACCCTGTTATCCAGTGTAAAGAGTGAGACTGTTAGCTACTCTACCCTGTTTTCCAGTGTAAAGAGTGAGACTGTGAACTACTCTACCCTGTTACCAAGTGTAAAGTGTGAGACTGTGAGCTACTCTACCCTGTTATCCAGTGTAAAGAGTGAGACTGTGAGCTACTCTACCCTGTTTTCCAGTGTAAAGAGTGAGGCTATGAGCTACTCTACCCTGTTATCCAGTGTAAAGTGTGAGGCTGTGAACTACTCTACCCTGTTTTCCAGTGTAAAGAGTGAGACTGTGAACTACTCTACCCTGTTATCCAGTGTAAAGAGTGAGACTGTGAACTACTCTACCCTGTTATCCAGTGTAAAGAGTGAGACTGTGAACTACTCTACCCTGTTATCCAGTGAAAAGAGTGAGACTGTGAACTACTCTACCCTGTTTCCAGTGTAAAGAGTGAGACTGTGAACTACTCTACCCTGTTATCCAGTGTAAAGAGTGAGACTGTGAACTACTCTACCCTGTTATCCAGTGTAAAGAGTGAGACTGTGAACTACTCTACCCTGTTTCCAGTGTAAAGAGTGAGACTGTGAACTACTCTACCCTGTTTTCCAGTGTAAAGAGTGAGACTGTGAACTACTCTACCCTGTTATCCAGTGTAAAGAGTGAGACTGTGAACTACTCTACACTGTTATCCAGTGTAAAGAGTGAGACTGTGAACTACTCTACCCTGTTTCCAGTGTAAAGAGTGAGACTGTGAACTACTCTACCCTGTTATCCAGTGTAAAGAGTGAGACTGTGAACTACTCTACCCTGTTTTCCAGTGTAAAGAGTGAGACTGTGAACTACTCTACCCTGTTATCCAGTGTAAAGAGTGAGACTGTGAACTACTCTACCCTGTTATCCAGTGTAAAGTGAGACTGTGAACTACTCTACCCTGTTTCCAGTGTAAAGAGTGAGACTGTGAACTACTCTACCCTGTTTTCCAGTGTAAAGAGTGAGACTGTGAACTACTCTACCCTGTTATCCAGTGTAAAGAGTGAGACTGTGAATTACTCTATCCTGTTATCCAGTGTAAAGAGTGAGACTGTGAGCTACTCTACCCTGTTATCCAGTGTAAAGAGTGAGACTGTGAGCTACTCTACCCTGTTATCAAGTGTAAAGTGTGAGACTGTGAATTACTCTACCCTGTTATCCAGTGTAAAGAGTGAGACTGTGAGCTACTCTACCCTGTTATCCAGTGTAAAGTGTGAGGTTGTGAGCTACTCTACCCTGTTATCCAGTGTAAAGAGTGAGACTGTGAACTACTCTACCCTGTTTTCCAGTGTAAAGAGTGAGACTATGAACTACTCTACCCTGTTTTCCAGTGTAAAGTGTGAGACTGTGAGCTACTCTACCCTGTTATCCAGTGTAAAGAGTGAGACTGTGAGCCACTCTACCCTGTTATCCAGTGTAAAGTGTGAGGTTGTGAGCTACTCTACCCTGTTATCCAGTGTAAAGTGTGAGACTGTGAGCTACTCTACCCTGTTATCCAGTGTAAAGAGTGAGACTGTGAACTACTCTACCCTGTTTCCAGTGTAAAGAGTGAGACTGTGAACTACTCTACCCTGTTTTCCAGTGTAAAGAGTGAGACTGTGAACTACTCTACCCTGTTTTCCAGTGTAAAGAGTGAGACTGTGAACTACTCTACCCTGTTATCCAGTGTAAAGAGTGAGACTGTGAACTACTCTACCCTGTTATCCAGTGTAAAGTGAGACTGTGAACTACTCTACCCTGTTTCCAGTGTAAAGAGTGAGACTGTGAGCTACTCTACCCTGTTTTCCAGTGTAAAGAGTGAGACTGTGAACTACTCTACCCTGTTATCCAGTGTAAAGAGTGAGACTGTGAATTACTCTATCCTGTTATCCAGTGTAAAGAGTGAGACTGTGAGCTACTCTACCCTGTTATCCAGTGTAAAGAGTGAGACTGTGAGCTACTCTACCCTGTTATCAAGTGTAAAGTGTGAGACTGTGAATTACTCTACCCTGTTATCCAGTGTAAAGAGTGAGACTGTGAGCTACTCTACCCTGTTATCCAGTGTAAAGTGTGAGGTTACGAGCTACTCTACCCTGTTATCCAGTGTAAAGAGTGAGACTGTGAACTACTCTACCCTGTTTTCCAGTGTAAAGAGTGAGACTGTGAACTACTCTACCCTGTTTTCCAGTGTAAAGTGTGAGACTGTGAGCTACTCTACCCTGTTATCCAGTGTAAAGAGTGAGACTGTGAGCCACTCTACCCTGTTATCCAGTGTAAAGTGTGAGGTTGTGAGCTACTCTACCCTGTTATCCAGTGTAAAGTGTGAGACTGTGAGCTACTCTACCCTGTTATCCAGTGTAAAGAGTGAGACTGTGAGCCACTCTACCCTGTTATCCAGTGTAAAGTGTGAGGTTGTGAGCTACTCTACCCTGTTATCCAGTGTAAAGTGTGAGACTGTGAGCTACTCTACCCTGTTATCCAGTGTAAAGAGTGAGACTGTGAACTACTCTACCCTGTTTTCCAGTGTAGAGAGTGAGACTGTGAACTACTCTACCCTGTTTTCCAGTGTAAAGAGTGAGGCTGTGAGCTACTCTACCCTGTTCTCCAGTGTAAAGAGTGAGACTGTGAATTACTCTACCCTGTTATCCAGTGTAAAGAGTGAGACTGTGAGCTACTCTACCCTGTTATCCAATGTAAAGAGTGAGACTGTTAGCTACTCTACCCTGTTATCCAGTGTAAAGAGTGAGACTGTGAACTACTCTACCCTGTTTTCCAGTGTAAAGTGTGAGACTGTTCGCTGCTCTACCCTGTTTTCCAGTGTAAAGAGTGAGACTGTGAACTACTCTACCCTGTTTTCCAGTGTAAAGAGTGAGACTGTTCGCTACTCTACCCTGTTTTCCAGTGTAAAGAGTGAGGTTGTGAGCTACTCTACCCTGTTACCAAGTGTAAAGTGTGAGACTGTGAGCTACTCTAACCTGTTATCCAGTGTAAAGAGTGAGACTGTGAGTTACTCTACCCTGTTATCCAGTGTAAAGAGTGAGGCTGTTAGATACTCTACCCTGTTTTCCAGTGTAAAGTGTGAGGCTGTGAGCTACTCTACCCTGTTACCAAGTGTAAAGTGTGAGACTGTGAGCTACTCTACCCTGTTATCCAGTGTAAAGAGTGAGACTGTGAGTTACTCTACCCTGTTTTCCAGTGTAAAGAGTGAGACTGTGAACTACTCTACCCTGTTATCCAGTGGAAGGTGATCTTACTGAGAAAGGCTGCGGATGTCTCGGGACACGGTTCCTGGAACATACAAGCAGCGTCAAGTTTGCGAGGCATAGAAACCAGAAAGTGTCATTTCCCGAAAGAATTTGTCGCTAAATGAGGACGGTGATATTATACACTGATGGCAAATTGTTACTTTCTGTGACGAGACTGTTGAAAACTTGTAGTCACCGCGTGCCCTGCTCAACCTTAATCACCATGTCTCCTGTGTAAACATCCCCTGAAGATCCGGGTTAGAATAGGTCTTCAGCAACCCATGCTTGCCGTAAAAGACGACTATGCTTGTCATAAGATGCGACTAACAGGATCTTGTAGTCAGGCTCGCTGACTTGGTTGATGCATGTCATCGATCCCAATTGCGTGGATCGATGCTCATGATGTCAATCACTGGATTGTCTAGTCCAGACTCGATTATTTACAGACCGCCGTCATATAGCTGGAATATTGCTGAGTGTAGCGTTTAACAACGGACAAACACACTAACAATCTAACAGCGTAAGACGTTCTTGACCTCAACCCTGCTGACTTAAGTCGATTTCTTCATGTCTGTGATGACCATGGGCATCCAATTCTCCTTCAGACAGGTGCTGGGTGGCACGGATGGCCCAGTCGTCTAAGGCGCCGCGATTCGCTGTGCAGAGTTGCGTCCCTTGGGCATGCCAGAAACCTATGATTGTGGGTTCGAATCCCGGTTCGACCCGATTACGTTTCTAGGTTTGTCAGCACCATACTCGTGCTCGTGGGTTTCACCGAAATGGTAAACGTCTAAGACCTGCATCACTTCAGGCTTTCCTCCCATATTAAGCTGACACGCCGTGATATAAGTGGAATATTGTTAAAAGTGACGTTAAACCCAACTCACTTACTTACTCAGACATGTGCTTATGGCTGAGGGTTGTCGCCTAACCAAGCGTGCTGACGTTACACGAAACCACTCAGACCTTGGGCAGTTCTTGATCTCATTACACATGCCCATGTTTCTGGACATTCCTACATCAAGCATGCAAATTATTCGCCACCTTTAGTCAGACAATCTCCTACCATACCTGATGAACATAAACAAAGACTAATGATGCGCGTCGGAACTTCTAGCAAACATTAAAATCTTAGCAAGACAGTAACCATTTTCTCAGGTGTGTATATTGAAGAAGAGATAACACTGCCACGACAAGTAGTTGTGAATTTACAGAGATGGGTATCTACAAACATTTTGGCATATCATAGAACACTTGATTGTCTACCATACCATGCAAATAGTCCACTGACAGCTGTCCAACAACAGATGTACCCACATCATCCCTGGTACCTACCAGCTTCACTGACACCACTGACGCCACCCGAACACATCACATGTTGACAGGCAGCTGTGCAGTAAAATGTTTGTTTATTGCAAGCAATTTGTTACACCTGTGACAGAGCTTACCTTTGATCCACTCTTCTTGTGAACTGGGAACCTCTACTGAAGCTAGATCATCAACTTGGGGCACCTGTGACAGAGCTTACCTTTGATCCACTCTTCTTGTGAACTGGGAACCTCTACTGAAGCCAGATCATCAAGTTGGGACACCTGTGACAGAGCTTACCTTTGATCCACTCTTCTTGTGAACTGGGAACCTCTACTGAAGCTAGATCATCAACTTGGGGCACCTGTGGCTGAGCTTACCTTTGATCCACTCTTCTTGTAACCTGGGAATCTCTACTGAAGCTAGATCATCAAGTTGGGACACCTGTGACAGATCTTACCTTTGATCCACTCTTCTTGTGAACTGGGAATCTCTACTGAAGCCAGATCATCAACTTGGGGCACCTGTGACAGATCTGACCTTTGATCCACTCTGTTTGTGAACAGAGAATCTCTATTGAAGCCAGATCATCAAGTTGGGGCACCTGTGACAGATCTGACCTTTGATCCACTCTTCTTGTGACCTGGGAATCTCTACTGAAGCCAGATCATCAAGTTGGGGCACCAGTGACAGATCTGACCTTTGATCCCCTCTTCTTGTGAACAGGTAATCTCTACTGAAGCCAGATCATCAAGTTGGGACACCTGTGACAGATCTTACCTTTGATCCACTCTACCTGTAAACGGGGAACCTCTACGGAAGCTGGATAATATATTTGGAGCACATATGACAGATCTTACCTTTGCTCCACTCTGTTTGTGAACTGGGAACCTCTACGGAAGCTGGATAATATATTTGGAGCACATATGACAGATCTTACCCTTGCTCCACTCTTCTTGTGACTGGGGAACCTCTCAGCAAATAGATGGAGGACAAATTGGGAGAAGAGGATTGCGTAACCGGTGAAGAATAGTATGAGTCTGGCAACAGGGGGCTTCGCCTGTCAAACACATTTACAGAATATCACCAGTGTACTTTAAATGAATAAATAAATATGTCATGTTATAATTCTCATACTGAGGAAACCCATAGCATAGTGGGGACACCCATATCAAAGTGAGGATACTCAGATCGTACTGAGAACATCCAGATCCCACTTTGAAAATATTGAGCATACGTAGTGCATCCAGATCATGTAAGTGAGTGGGTTAATATTTAACGACGCCCTGGCATTTTTACATCCACATATTTCTATTTACAATTGTTTAAAACACGGAGTAGGAGCCACAAAGCTAGGCCACTACGCTGAGTATCATTGAGTCCTCCTGCAGGGTCACATCAGGACACCTAGAACACACTGAGGACACCCAGTCCACACTGAGGACACTCCGGTCACACTGAGGACACTCCGGTCACACTGAGGACACCCAGTCCACACTGAGGACACTCCGGTCACACGGAGGACATCTAGACCACACCGAGCACACCCAGATCACACCAAGAACATTTAGAGTGCACGGAACAAACCTAGAGCATACTGGGGACACCTACAGCACCCTGAGGATACCTGCAGTACCCTGCGGACACATAGAGCACGATGGGGACACGTAGACCACACTTAGGAAACCTAGAACTCACAGAGGACACCCAGAACACACTGAGGACACCCAGATCACACCAATTAGGACACAGTAACTATGGTTAGACTCACCCACTGAATGATGTATGTGTAGAAGGGGATGATGTTGCAGGTGACAATCAGAAACCAGAAGATGAACAAGATACAGGAACTTGACAGCCCCTTCCTCTGTGACTGTAGTGTTAGGTACATACATAGCACCTGCAACACAACATGATTAGCATATGTAACACAACATGATTAGCACCTGCAACACAACATGATTAGCACCTGCAACACAACATGATTAGCACCTGTAACACAACATGATTAGCACCAGCAACACAACATACACAGCACCTGCAACACAACACGCAGAATACCTGAAACACAACACGCAGAGCTCCTGCAACACAACACGCAGAGCACCTGCAACACAACACGCAGAGCACCTGCAACACAACACGCAGAGCACCTGCAACACAACACGCAGAGCACCTGCAACACAACACGCAGAGCACCTGCAACACAACACGCAGAGCACCTGCAACACAACACGCAGAGCACCTGCAACACAACACGCAGAGCTCCTGCAACACAACACGCAGAGCACCTGCAACACAACACGCAGAGCTCCTGCAACACAACACGCAGAGCACCTGCAACACAACACGCAGAGCACCTGCAACACAACACGCAGAGCACCTGCAACACAACACGCAGAGCACCTGCAACACAACACGCAGAGCACCTGCAACACAACACGCAGAGCACCTGCAACACAACACGCAGAGCTCCTGCAACACAACACGCAGAGCACCTGCAACACAACACGCAGAGCACCTGCAACACAACACGCAGAGCACCTGCAACACAACACGCAGAGCTCCTGCAACACAACACGCAGAGCACCTGCAACACAGCACACAAGGCACATGGAATGCAACAGAGCAATAGGTTAGGAAATAAGCCACAACAATATTTGTTTCAACAGCTTTGCATTTAAGCGATATGTAAAAGTGTCTTGAAAATATTAAGTTAGTACTTTAAGTACTTCATCACCTAGGCACTGACTGACCAACACGTACTCACAAAAGTGAGCATCTTCAGGATGTGAGCATGATAGGAGGCTGGGGAGGAGTTTGACCTAAAGATGGAAGCTGCAACGGCCATATCAACACCTGCCAGTAGAGCCAGGAGAGCACTCACAATCTGAAAACACAACCAAACGTGTGGTGTAACAATGTTGCTTAAAAATTGCTAACGGAATTAACTGCAAATATTTCTGAGTTTAGCGCCCTGATTTTTCAAGCATGTTTGGACAAATTCATATTAAATGGGAATGTTTTGGCCTGGTCTCAATGGCTCTGGGTGAAAGGAGTGATCTTCACCTTCAATATTGTTTAATCATTTACCAGATCACTTACTATAGCTGCAAGTATGTTACATTTATGACATTTCCATCCAACGTTTTCTGAATGTACATGTCATTACTTTCACTCTTTGTGTTTTATCTATTATTAGAAATGTTAACCCGGACAGGAGCCTCACAGGACATGTAGACATCAGAATACTGCACAGGGAGAAGAGAACAAAACACAAAACACTGCAGTAAAATATCAGACCTTTAGCCACTAATTTATATAGTTCTACTGTCATTTTAGAGCCGTTATAGGGCGCCTCTTACAGTGTGGAGGAGGCAAGGGCCCTGGGCTGATGGTTGGTTGGTTTGTTTGTTGTTTAACGCCACACTCAGAAATATTTCAGCTTTATGACGGCAGTCTGTAAATAATCGAGTCTGGACCAGACAATCCACTGATTGATATCATGAGCATCGACCCACGCAATTTGGATACGATGGCATGCATCAACCAAGTCAGCGAGCCTGACCACCCGATCCTGTTAGTCGCCCCTTGCGACAAGCATAGTCGCTTTTTACGGGAAGCATGGGTTGCTGAAGACCTATTCTACCCCGGCTTTTCACGTGTCGCTGGGCTGATAATGACAAGTCTGACTGTGCCAGGGTCACCTGACCTTTCCTTGTTGCATCTTTTTATATTAATCTGTTAATAATAGCTTTGAGTCCTGCCTTTTGGTTGTCTGCAGGTCTCAACTATCTGTCTCGGGTGCACAGCTTTAGTAGTACCCATATATAAACTAGTGTCCAAAAGAAACGATACCACCTGTTTGCAACGACATAAAAGAAAAACTAAACAATGCAGAAGTTTAGGATTGGTGTTATGCTTTTGAGAAATCCTATCACAACATCTGTACAAAAATTTCATTTCAATAAAATCTGTACAACCAATATGACAAGCCTTTAAAGATGGGTGGGGTCGAAAAATGAACATTTCGTTAGAGCACTGATCACAGAAACAACGGGAAATGTCACACCACACGTCTCAAAGTCAAGTCAGTAGCGGGTATGTCCACCGTGAGCATCAATACATGCAAGAACACGCCTACGGACTGATGACGTCAAACGTCTGATGACGTTGGGAGTGATGCGTTGCCATTCCTCGAGGAGACATCGTTCCAAGTCCTGGACGTTGACTGGAGGCACACGGCGACGTCGGATTTGCCGATCGAGGTGGTCCCATAAGTGCTCGATGGGATTCATGTCCGGTGAACATGCGGGCCATGGCAAAACCTGTACGTTGGCGTTGGAAAGGAAGTTCTGTGTCAATCTTGCTGTGTGTGGCCTTGCATTGTCATAATGGAAAAGGAGTCCACGAGGCTGTTGCTGATTAAAGGGCACCACAACAGGCCGTAGGATGCCATCAAGATAACGCTGTGCATTCAGGTTTCCACGAATTACGACAAGCATCGTTTTGACGTCACCACATATGCCACCCCAAACCATTAACCCTCCACCTCCAAACGGCCGGACCTGTTGGATACAGTTAGGCGCCAAACGTTCACCAAATCGTCGGTATACAAGCTGCCGTCCATCGTTTCTGAAGATGAGGAATCTGCTCTCATCAGAGAACATAACACGTGCCCAGTCCCGCCGTTGCCAACGTTGAACTCGCCTGGCCCAGATCAGTCTGTTGTTCCGGTGTCGAGGCGTCAGGAGCGGTCCGCGGTAGGGATGACGTGGCCGGATACCATACTGCCGTAGTCTCCTGTAGACGATCTGTCGACTGATCCTGTGTCCCAGTGCTGTAGCCGCCGTGGACGTCGCTGTTACGGTGCGGTTTCTCAGGTGTAATACCCGGATGTAACGATCTTCACGGGGCGTGGTTACTCGTGGTCTTACACTCCTGGGCCTGTCTGACGTCTGACCTGTCTGACGTAACCGCTGCATCAACCTGGTGATAGTGATGCGTGCGCAGCCCAACCTTCTGGCGACGTCGACGTGTGACGCTCCTTGTTGGACCATTCCAACGGCTCTCTCTCTCTCTCTCGATGGCTGTCAAACGTGGCATATCTTGTGTTCTTTTTGTTGCTGTGATATCAACGTGTCTGATCAGCCGTTTTATACAGTTTTTCTGCACGTGCAGAACATGCTAGAGAGGGAAATGTCACTTTCACGAAATGTACGTTTTTTCCCGGAAGTGATCACGTGTTCCCGGTATTTTTTATCGACTATGCTGTGTTTGGGATGTGCAATACGAATTGGCATGTTTTCATACTCGACAATTCACTTAGTAAAAAACAATTTTGAAAATAAGTTGGTATCGTTTCTTTTGGACACTAGTTTATATACATATATGAGGATCACCAGATATGCCCTTGTAGGCCAGACATAGAACCTTGAGTGTGAGACCCTGAACATACCTTTACAGTTTACACAACTATGACACATGACACTGTTGCTATTGGTACCTACTATCTTTGTGAGGGTGAGAGTAGACATGTGCTGGGCTGACGCCGGTCGTCGGTGGAGATGGAGGAGAAAGACCGGGAGAGTCAGCCACAGCCAGCCACACGGCACCCACACCAGCACTGTGTGATGGAAGCATGGTGAGAACTCGGGCCATGTGTTGTTCAACAACAGATCCACGTCCTGGAATACAGAACATATTATTGGGGGAGGACTGTCTTATGTGGAGGTGGAGGAGGAAGACCTGGAGAGTCAGCCACAGCCAGCCACACGGCACCTACACCAACACTATGTGATGGAAGCATGGTGAGAACTCTGGCCACGTGTTGTTCAACAACAGATCCACGTCCTGGAATACAGAACTTATTATTGGGGGAATACAATAAATAGCATTTCCACACAGCACCCCCACCCGAATCATGTAAAGGATGCAAGGTGAGAACTCGGGCCACGCGTTGATCACGTCCTGGGATACAAGACATTGCTTGACCCACAACATCTAACATGATTCAAGCTAAGCTAAAAAGAATAGCTGTTGGATGGCTGTGCTCCGGGGCAAATTCCCCAACCCCAAGTTTGGCTCAGAATAGCTTAAAACCGGTGATGTTAGTGCTCTGGAGCAAATTCACCAACCCCAAGTTTGGCTCAGAATAGGTTAAAACAGGTGTTGATGGTACTCTGGGGCAAATTCACCAACACCAAGCTTGGCTCAGAATAGGTTAAAACAGGTGTTGATGGTACTCCAGAGCACCAAGTCTGACCCAAACCTGGCTGTAGCACAGTACACACATTGTTACAACTAAACCCACCCAAACAAATCTAAACCACTAGTTAGACTAAACTACTAGTTAAACTAAACTATAACAGTGGGTTCGAATCCCGGTTCGCCCCAATTATGTTTCTAGGTTTGTCAGCACCATATCCGTCCTCATGGGTTTCACCGAAAGGGTAAACGTCTGAGATCGCATCACTTCGGGCTTTCCTCCCATATAAACATGACACGCCGTGATATAACAGGAATACTGTTAACCCTCACTCACTCACTCACTCACTCACTCACTCACTCACTCACTCACTCACTCCAGAGAAATCAAAGAGTTAATATTTTGTGATACCTAATTTGTTTTGTGATGCTAGCATGAATGATAAAGCTGTAGTAATCCTCCAGGTACAGATGGGATAAAACTGTAGTAAACCTCTAGGAACAAGTATGACAACAGTGTAGTAACCATCTTGGAACAATAATGATAACGTTGTAGTAATCCTCTAGGTACAGGTGGAATAAAGCTGTAATAGCCCTCTAGGTACAGGTGGGATAAAGCTGTAGTAACCCTCTAGGAACTAGTATGATACAACTGTAGTTATCCTCCAGGAACAAGTATGATACAACTGTAGTAATCATCTAGGTACAGGTGAGATAAAACTATAGTAAACCTCTAGGAACAAGTATGATAAAATGTAGTAATCCTCTAGATACAGGTGAGATAAAACTATAGTAAACCTCCAGGAACAAGTATGATAAAGCTGTAGTAATCATCTAGGCACAGGTGTGATAACATTGTGGTAAACCTCTAGGTACAGGTGTGATAACATTGTGGTAAACCTCTAGGTTCCGGTGTGACAAAGCAGTAATAATGCTCGTATTATAATCGCTATACAAGTATCAAACATTACCTCTCTCAATATTTGGTAATAAGTGTGTATTCCTAATCACTATCATCAGCGAAAAATAATTATAAATATTCTACAGTTTAAAGATTTTAAAGGTCTTATGACGCTTCTGCAGTTTGATCACCGTAATACAATTATAAATAAATAATCAATACCAATCAATATGACCACTCAAAATGTGCTATATGTCAATAGCTGCAGCATTCCATTAATTGAAGATGTTAAAGGCGCTATCCTATTTCTGGTCAAGGTGATATGAGTAATAATATAGTAAAAAATATTTTACATAAACAATATTGACCCATTGCATTCAGCTTCTGCACTCACAAGTATGAAATGTGATTTACCATCATGAGCCAAGAAGAAATCTAAATATTTCATTAGTTGTAGATTTTAAAGGCATTATCCCACTTCTGGTCGAGGGGACATGAGTAATGATACAGTTAAAAATCTCTTAAAATTAGCAATACTCACCCATTGCATTCAGATGCATTCTGCACACACGTTTGAAATGTCATTTACTATAATCAGTGAAAAGATCTTAGGACTCCATAAATTGTAGATTTAAAGATTTATTCTGTAACCAGGATTCTATATTTGATCTTCGGTTCAGGAGACAATACAACAGGAACAAGACAACTTGATGGTCAAAACGATGAGTTATTTAGTCAAATGTTTTCGAAATACAGTAATCAGTTACTTCACAAACGTACTTGAAGCAATCCGAAAACTGTGATATATTTTCCTAACTTACGTCTACCTTGTTCGGACCATGTCTCTCATACTTACACCACTGACAAAGCTCTGACACACATTGAGAACTTTAATATACATACACAGATACATATATATACATTTAAATAAAACGTTTACATACTATAATTATACTTCATACACAAGTAAACAATTATCAATTAATTATTTTTTAATTATATAAACATAACCGGGAGTGTAACTATCTTCTGGTCGAGGGGAAATGAGTAATTATATAGTAAAAGATCCCATAAAATTAGCACTATTCACCCATTGCATTCAGGTTCTGCTCACAAGTTTGAAATGTAATAAACTATCATCAGCCATAAAGAATGTAGGTAGCTTCAAATGTAGGATGTATGGAGTGTTCCCTCTGTTGTCTGCAGGTGTAGGATGTATAGAGTGTGCCCTCTGTGGTCTGCAGGTGTAGGATGTGTAGAATGTGTCCTCTGTGGTCTGCAGGTGTAGGATGTATAGAATGTGTTCTCTGTTGTCTGCAGGTGTAGGATGTATGGAGTGTGCCCTCTGTTGTCTGCAGGTGTAGGATGTATAGAATGTGTCCTCTGTTGTCTGCAGGTGTAGGATGTATAGAGTGTTCCCTCTGTTGTCTGCAGGTGTAGTATGTATAGAATGTGTCCTCTGTTGTCTGCAGGTGTAGGATGTATGGAGTCTGCCCTCTGTAGTCTGTAGGTGTAGGATATATAGAGTGTTCCCTCTGTTGTCTGCAGGTGTAGGATGTATAGAATGTGTTCTCTGTTGTCTGCAGGTGTAGGATGTATGGAGTGTGCCCTCTGTTGTCTGCAGGTGTAGGATGTATAGAATGTGTCCTCTGTTGTCTGCAGGTGTAGGATATATAGAGTGTTCCCTCTGTTGTCTGCAGGTGTAGGATGTATAGAATGTGTTTTCTGTTGTCTGCAGGTGTAGGATGTATGGAGTGTGCCCTCTGTTGTCTGCAGGTGTAGGATGTATAGAGTGTTCCCTCTGTTGTCTGCAGGTGTAGGATGTATAGAATGTGTTCTCTGTTGTCTGCAGGTGTAGGATGTATGGAGTGTTCCCTCTGTTGTCTGCAGGTGTAGGATGTATAGAATGTGTCCTCTGTTGTCTGCAGGTGTAGGATGTATAGGGTGTGCCCTCTGTTGTCTGCAGGTGTAGGATGTATGGAGTGTTCCCTCTGTTGTTTGCAGGTGTAGGATGTATGGAGTGTTCCCTCTGTAGTCTGTAGGTATAGGATGTATGGAGTGTGCCTGTATCTGATTGTCATATATTTCTGTCAAACCCTTACTATTCATGACTATTTGGCAGCAACATGGTTAGCTGATCAACCTCAAAACTCTTCTTGTTATGTAATTTAAATCCTGCATGTTGGCACATTGTCCAATAGAATAGAAAACAAGAAAACATTCCTATTTTAGGGCACTTGTTCACATCATAAGCTTTCAAGAAATCGGCTTTAAGAGTGAATGCATTTAAACTTCTTGTACGTAATGATATGAGTGTTCTTTCAACAGAGGGGCGGTCGGGTAGCCTAGTGGTTAAAGCGTTCGCTCATCACGCCGAAGACCCGGGTTCGATTCCCGACATGGGCACAATGTGTGAAGCCCATTTCTGGTGTGATATTGCTGGAATATTGCTAAAAGCGGCGTAAAACCATACTCACTCACTCACTCTTTCAAAAGCCAGAATCTACACAGACGTTGATTTGTCAAATATGCTACTTTCAACTACTGGAAGATGTTTTTGTTTTGGAAGCTGCATTATAGGTTTGCCACATCATTATCTTTGAGAAAGTCAATCGTAGTGATAGTCATAGGTTATCTGTAACTTTGGACATATTCTGTTGACAAGCGGGCTCAATAAGACGTTCGATATGAGCCCTATATCGTGAATCACAACGGTATAAGGATCTATACGAAAACCTCGCCTTTACAGACATTATTATCCATAAATTGTCTTTACTTTGTCATCCACCAAATTCTAAGTGACACAACAATCAAACAATTCATCCGTCGTCTCCATGGGGACAGGGCAATCAACAGCATTAACAGCCTCACAGTTTCCTGGAAAACAGTATAAAATAGCAATACACCTGGTGGAAAAATTAAAGATAAAAATATACAAATGTATGAATGACGTATGCTATCCCAAAATAATTACTTTTCAGAAATAGTGTTAGATTCTGATGATTTAATTATCAATTTCCCTTTTCCTTATTCTTAAAGAAATAAACCAAAACACATTCACTGAGCTAGAGACGATAATTATAGAAATTTAAAACAGTGTAAGAGAAAACGTCAGAAGTATAAATGAAAGTATGTTATCAAGTCTTTCAAAAGATGAATTTTATCTTACAAAACTACTAGATGATGAGATACATGGAATACAGATATGACATTTAATCCAAAGGCCGAATGAGAAAAAAAGCATCCAATTATTTCTGACTTCTTGTGATTATAAATTATACAAGTAACTGTTTACTCTTAGAAAACAAATAACAGACCATGTGTTTTCTCAAGATATTTTTTTAATTGTTTTGGAAAGATGTAGAAATGTGGAATTATAGGCATATTAAATATATAAAGAATAACAACCAAATGTTGTTTGTTGTCAAATGAATAGTGATTTCATAGCATGTATTCATAACCTAATTCAAAAATTGTCGCAAACATTGTGCCAGGTAGAAACATAAGTGAAAAGACCACTGACACCTTTGACGATCCGGGGTAGAATAGGTCTTCAACAACCCATTCTTGCCGTAAAAG